TACCCCATACACCCCACACCCTTATCCCATACCCCATATACCGCATACCCCATACCCCACACCCCATATCCCATACCCCACACCCCATATCCCATACCTCATACCCCATATCCCAAACCCCATACCCCATATCTCATATCCCATACCCCATATACCCCATACCCCATACCCCACACCCCATATCCCACACCCCACACCCCTTATCCCATACCCCATATACCACATACCCCATAACCCACACCCCACACCCCATACACCCCACACCCCACACCCCTTATCCCATACCCCATATACCCCATACCCCATACCCCACACCCCATATCCCATACCCCATAACCCACACCCCATATACCCCATACCCCATATATCCCACACCCCACACCCCACACCCCACACCCCACATCCATGCACAGGCACACACAGGCAGCTCCGGGGGGGGGGGGGGGGGGGGTTTATTGTGGGGTTTATGGCTTTGGGGGGGCCCCCCCAGCCCCACATGGGGGGGGGACAAGGACACTGTGGGGGGGGGAGGAACACAGGGGGGGACCCCAAATACAAACACATTGAGGGGCCCCATAGAGACACATAAGGGGGGGGGGCTTAGATATTGGGGTGCCCCCCATAGACACATATAGGGGGACCCCCATAGACACACATTGGGGGGGTCCCCCCCTATAGGAACCCATTGTAGGGGCCCATAGGCACCTATGGGGGGGGATCCCCCCATTAACACACAATGGAAGGGTCCCCCCCCATAGACACACATTGGGGGACCCCCCCATAGACACCCATTGGGGGGGGATCCCCCCATAGACAGACATTGGGGGGACCCCCATAGACACACATTGAGGGGGGGGGCCCCATGGATATGGGGGGGGCCCCAGATGGGGTTTGGGGTCCTCCCCCCCCCCCCCCAGAGTTGGGGGTCACAGTGGGGGGGGGGGGTCCCCATATGGCTTCGATGTTGGGGCCCCCCCCCAGGCTGGGCTGGAGCCTATAGGAGAGGTGAGGGGGGGTCCAGTATGGACCAGTGCCCCCCAGTATGGACCAGTGCCCCCCAGTATGGACCAGTGCCCCCCAATATGGACCAGTGACCCCCCCAGTATGGACCAGTGCCCCCCAGTATGGACCAGTGCCCCCCAGTATGGACCAGTGCCCCCCAATATGGACCAGTGACCCCCAGTATGGACCAGTGACCCCCCCAGTATGGACCAGTGCCCCCCAATATGGACCAGTGACCCCCAGTATGGACCAGTGACCCCCCCAGTATGGACCAGTGCCCCCCAGTATGGACCAGTGACCCCCCCAGTATGGACCAGTGCCCCCCAGTATGGACCAGTGACCCCCCCAGTATGGACCAGTGCCCCCCAGTATGGACCAGTGACCCCCCAGTATGGACCAGTGCCCCCCAGTATGGACCAGTGACCCCCCCAGTATGGACCAGTGACCCCCAGTATGGACCAGTGCCCCCCAGTATGGACCAGTGACCCCCCCAGTATGGACCAGTGCCCCCCAGTATGGACCAGTGCCCCCCAGTATGGACCAGTGACTCCCCCAGTATGGACCAGTGACCCCCAGTATGGACCAGTGACCCCCCAGTATGGACCAGTGACCCCCCCAGTATGGACCAGTGCCCCCCAGTATGGACCAGTGACCCCCCAGTATGGACCAGTGGTTCCCAGTCCCCCCAGCACACCCCAGTCCAAACCAGTCCAAACCAGTCCAAACCAGTCCAAACCAGTTCAAACCAGTCCAAACCAGTTCAAACCAGCCCAAACCAGCCCAAACCAGTCCAAACCAGTCCAAACCAGTTCAAACCAGTCCAAACCAGTTCAAACCAGCCCAAACCAGTCCAAACCAGCCCAAACCAGTTCAAACCAGTCCAAACCAGTCCAAACCAGTCCAAACCAGTTCAAACCAGTCCAAACCAGTTCAAACCAGTCCAAACCAGTCCAAACCAGCCCAAACCAGTTCAAACCAGTCCAAACCAGTCCAAACCAGTCCAAACCAGTCCTAACCAGTCCAAACCAGTTCAAACCAGTCCAAACCAGCCCAAACCAGTCCAAACCGGTCCAAACCAGTCCAAACCAGTCCAAACCAGTCCAAACCAGTCCAAACCAGTTCAAACCAGTCCGTACCAGTTCAGGAGGCCTCTGCCCTGTCCCCATGCTTGTCCCTCGTGGAGCCCTTCGCCAGTCCCAGCGCCTTCTCCTGCACAGGGACCAAGGCGCAGGGGGCCCATGGGTGCCACAGCCCCTATGGCACCCATGGGTGCTATTGCCCCTTATGGGTGCTGTGTCCTCTATTGCCCCCTATGGGTGCCATTGTCCCCTAAGGGTGCCATTGCGCCCTATGGGTGCCATTGTCTCCTATGGGTGCTGGGGATCCCTAGGGGTGCCACTGCCCCCTATGGGTGCCGCTGCCCCCTATGGGTGCCATTGCCCCCTATGGGTGCTGGGGATCCCTATGGGTGCCACTGCCCCCTATGGGTGCCGCTGCCCCCTATGGGTGCTGGGGATCCCTATGGGTGCCACTGCCCCTTATGGGTGCTGGGGATCCCTATGGGTGCCACTGCCCCCTATGGGTGCCATTGCCCCCTATGGGTGCCATTGTCCCCTATGGGTGCCATTGCGCCCTATGGGTGCCATTGCCCCCTATGGGTGCCGCTGCCCCCTATGGGTGCCACTGCCCCCTATGGGTGCCATTGCCCCCATGGGTGCCACTGCCCCTATGGGTGCTGGGGATCCCTATGGGTGCCATTGCCCCCTATGGGTGCTGGGGATCCCTATGGGTGCCACTGCCCCCTATGGGTGCTGGGGATCCCTATGGGCGCCACTGCCCCCTATGGGTGCCATTGTCCCCTATGGGTGCCATTGTTCCCTATGGGTGCCGCTGCCCCCTATGGGTGCCATTGTCCCCTATGGGTGCCATTGCCCCCTATGGGTGCTGTGTCCCCTATTGCCCCCTATGGCACCCATGGGTGCTGTGTCCCCTATGGGTGCTGTCCCCCATATGTCCCCCATGGGTGCTGTGTCCCCTATGTCCCCCATGGGTGCTGTGTCCCCCATGGGTGCTGTGTCCCCTATGGGTGCTGTGTCACCCATGGGTGCTGTGTCTCCTATGGGTGCTGTGTCCCCCATGGGTGCTGTGTCCCCTATGGGTGCTGTGTCCCCTATGGGTGCTGTGTCACCCATGGGTGCTGTGTCCCCTATGGGTGCTGTGTCACCCATGGGTGCTGTATCCCCTATGGGTGCTGTGTCACCCATGGGTGCTGTGTCCCCTATGGGTGCTGTGTCACCCATGGGTGCTGTGTCCCCTATGGGTGCTGTGTCCCCTATGGGTGCTGTGTCACCCATGGGTGCTGTGTCCCCTATGGGTGCTGTGTCACCCATGGGTGCTGTGTCCCCTATGGGTGCTGTGTCCCCCATGGGTGCTGTGTCCCCTATGGGTGCTGTGTCACCCATGGGTGCTGTGTCCCCTATGGGTGCTGTGTCCCCTACGGGTGCTGTGTCCCCTATGGGTGCTGTGTCCCCTATGGGTGCTGTATCCCCTATGGGTGCTGTGTCCCCCATGGGTGCTGTGTCCCCCATGGGTGCTGTGTCACCCATGGGTGCTGTATCCCCTATGGGTGCTGTGTCCCCTATGGGTGCTGTGTCACCCATGGGTGCTGTGTCCCCTATGGGTGCTGTGTCCCCTATGGGTGCTGTGTCACCCATGGGTGCTGTATCCCCTATGGGTGCTGTGTCACCCATGGGTGCTGTGTCCCCTATGGGTGCTGTGTCCCCTATGGGTGCTGTGTCACCCATGGGTGCTGTGTCCCCTATGGGTGCTGTATCCCCTATGGGTGCTGTGTCACCCATGGGTGCTGTGTCCCCTATGGGTGCTGTGTCCCCCATGGGTGCTGTGTCCCCTATGGGTGCTGTGTCACCCATGGGTGCTGTATCCCCTATGGGTGCTGTGTCCCCCATGGGTGCTGTGTCCCCTATGGGTGCTGTGTCCCCTATGGGTGCTGTGTCCCCCATGGGTGCTGTGTCACCCATGGGTGCTGTGTCACCTATGGGTGCTGTGTCCCCTATGGGTGCTGTGTCACCCATGGGTGCTGTGTCCCCTATGGGTGCTGTGTCCCCTATGGGTGCTGTGTCACCCATGGGTGCTGTGTCCCCTATGGGTGCTGTGTCCCCTATGGGTGCTGTGTCACCCATGGGTGCTGTGTCCCCTATGGGTGCTGTGTCACCCATGGGTGCTGTGTCCCCTATGGGTGCTGTGTCACCCATGGGTGCTGTGTCCCCTATGGGTGCTGTGTCCCCCATGGGTGCTGTGTCCCCTATGGGTGCTGTGTCACCCATGGGTGCTGTGTCCCCTATGGGTGCTGTGTCACCCATGGGTGCTGTGTCCCCTATGGGTGCTGTGTCACCCATGGGTGCTGTGTCCCCTATGGGTGCTGTGTCCCCTATGGGTGCTGTGTCACCCATGGGTGCTGTGTCCCCTATGGGTGCTGTGTCACCCATGGGTGCTGTGTCCCCTATGGGTGCTGTGTCACCCATGGGTGCTGTGTCCCCTATGGGTGCTGTGTCACCCATGGGTGCTGTGTCCCCTATGGGTGCTGTGTCCCCTATGGGTGCTGTGTCACCCATGGGTGCTGTGTCCCCTATGGGTGCTGTGTCACCCATGGGTGCTCACCTCCACCAGCGTGTGCCAATGCTCCACCGGCTGCCGCGGGTTCTGCAGCATCCGGGCCCAGTGCTCGCGGCCGGGGCCCTCGGCGTCGCTGCCCACGCGGCACAGCCCGATCACCTCATTGTGCCCTATGCTGGGACCCACAGCGGCGCCGCCTCAGACCCACAGCGAGCCATAGAGACCCAGAGAGACCCATAGCGACCCATAGAGACCCATAGAGACCCAGAGAGACCCATAGAGACCCATAGAGACCCATAGAGACCCATAGAGACCCATAGAGACCCAGAGAGACCCAGAGAGACCCATAGAGACCCATAGAGACCCATAGAGACCCATAGAGACCCAGAGAGACCCATAGAGACCCATAGAGACCCATAGAGACCCATAGAGACCCAGAGAGACCCATAGAGACACATAGGGACACATAGAGACACATAGAGACACATAGGGACCCAGAGAGACCCATAGAGACCCAGAGAGACCCAGAGAGACCCATAGAGACCCAGAGAGACCCAGAGAGACCCATAGAGACCCATAGAGACCCAGAGAGACCCATAGAGACCCATGGAGACCCAGAGAGACCCAGAGAGACCCAGAGAGACCCAGAGAGCATCCCCATAGCGCCACAGAGCACCCCCCCCATAGCGCCCCCTAGCGCGCCCTGGCTCGCCCCACAGCGCCCCATAACCACCCCCAACAACCCCATAACCCCCCATAGCGCCCCATAACCCCCCCCAACAACCCCATAACCCCCCCATAGCACCCCATAACCCCCCCCAACCACCCCATAACCCCCCCATAGCACCCCATAACCCCCCCAACCACCCCATAAGCCCCCTATAGCGCCCCCTAGCGCGCCCCCTAGCGCCCCATAACCACCCCCCATAGCACCCCATAACCCCCCCATAGCGCCCCATAACCACCCCATAGCACCCCATAACCACCCCCCCATAGCGCCCCATAACCACCCCCCATAGCACCCCATAACCACCCCCCATAGCACCCCATAACCCCCCATAGCGCCCCATAACCCCCCATAGCGCCCCATAACCTCCCCCAACCACCCCACAACCCCCCCATAGTGCCCCACAGCGTGCCCCATAACCACCTCCCCCAACCACCCCATAACCCCCCCATAGCACCCCATAACCACCCCCCATAGCGCCCCATAGCGCCCCATAACCACCCCCCCAGCGCGCCCCCTAGCGCGCCCGATAGCACTCCATAATCCCCCCATAGCGCCCCATAACCACCCCCCCATAGCACCCCATAACCACCCCCCATAACCCCCCATAGCGCCCCATAACCACCTCCCTCAACCACCCCATAACCACCCCCCATAGCGCCCCACAGCGCCCCATAACCAACCCCCATAGCGCGCCCCCTAGCGTGCCCCACAGCGCCCGATAACCACCCCCATAGCGCCCCATAACCACCCCATAGCGCCCCATAACCACCCTCCATAGCGCCCCATAACCACCCCCCATAGCACCCCATAACCACCCCATAGCACCCCATAACCACCCCCCATAGCACCCCATAACCACCCTCCATAGCGCCCCATAACCACCCCCCATAGCACCCCATAACCACCCCATAGCACCCCATAACCACCCCCCATAGCACCCCATAACCACCCCATAGCGCCCCATAACCACCCCCATAGCACCCCATAACCACCCCATAGCACCCCATAACCACCCCCCATAGCGCCCCATAACCCCCCCATAGCGCCCCATAACCACCCCATAACCCCCCATAACCACCCCATAGCACCCCATAACCACCCCCCATAGCGCCCCATAACCCCCCCATAGCGCCCCATAACCACCCCCCATAACCCCCCATAGCACCCCATAACCACCCCCCATAGCGCCCCCCAGCTCCCCACCAGTCGTAGTCGAGCACGGCGAGGGTGATGCTGACGTGGTGCACGCTGTCGTGGGCCACGTCGAAGACGAGCGCCTCGTTGAAGCTGGGGTTCAGGGTGTTCCTCTTGATCGACGTCTTCCGCTTCTTGAGCCGCCGGCCCTCGGCCATCAGCGACGCCTTCACGTAGGGGTCTGGGGGCAGAGAGACCCATAGGGACCCATAGGGACCCATAGGGAGCCATTGGGACCCATAGGGAGCCATTGGGAGTCATTGGGAGCCATAGGGAGCCATTGGGACCCATAGGGAGCCATTGGGAGTCATTGGGGGCCATTGGGAGTCATTGGGAGCCATTGGGACCCATAGGGAGCCATTGGGAGCCATTGGGACCCATAGGGACCCATTGGGAGCCATAGGGAGCCATTGGGACCCATAGGGGGCCATTGGGAGCCATAGGGAGCCATTGGGAGCCATTGGGAGCCATTGGGACCCATAGGGACCCATTGGGACCCATAGGGACCCATAGGGAGCCATTGGGACCCATAGGGGGCCATTGGGAGCCATTGGGACCCATAGGGAGCCATTGGGACCCATAGGGACCCATAGGGAGCCATTGGGACCCATAGGGACCCATAGGGACCCATAGGGAGCCATTGGGACCCATTGGGACCCATAGGGAGCCATTGGGAGTCATTGGGAGCCATTGGGACCCATAGGGGGCCATTGGGAGCCATTGGGAGCCATTGGGACCAATTGGGACCCATTGGGACCCATAGGGAGCCATTGGGAGTCATTGGGAGCCATTGGGAGTCATTGGGACACATTGGGACCCATAGGGAGCCATTGGGAGTCATTGGGAGCCATTGGGAGTCATTGGGACACATTGGGACCCATAGGGAGCCATAGGGAGCCATTGGGAGTCATTGGGACCCATAGGGAGCCATTGGGACACATAGGGAGCCATTGGGAGCCATTGGGACCCATAGGGACCCATAGGGAGCCATTGGGAGTCATTGGGACCCATTGGGAGCCATTGGGACCCATAGGGAGCCATTGGGACCCATAGGGAGCCATTGAGACCCATAGAGACCCATTGGGACCCATAGGGAGCCATTGGGACCCATAGGGAGCCATAGGGAGCCATTGGGACCCATAGGGACCCATTGGGACCCATTGGGACCCATAGGGAGCCATAGGGGGCCATTGGGAGCCATTGGGACCAATTGGGACCCATTGGGACCCATAGGGAGCCATTGGGAGCCATTGGGAGTCATTGGGAGCCATTGGGAGCCATTGGGAGCCATAGGGACCCATAGGGAGCCATTGGGAGCCATAGGGGGCCATTGGGAGTCATTGGGACCCATAGGGAGCCATAGGGAGCCATTGGGACCCATTGGGAGCCATAGGGAGCCATTGGGACCCATAGGGAGCCATAGGGAGCCATTGAGACCCATAGAGACCCATTGGGACCCATAGGGAGCCATTGGGAGCCATTGGGACCCATAGGGAGCCATTGGGACCCATAGGGAGCCATTGGGACCCATAGGGAGCCATAGGGAGCCATTGGGACCCATAGGGACCCATTGGGACCCATAGGGAGCCATTGGGAGTCATTGGGAGCCATTGGGAGCCATAGGGAGCCATTGGGACCCATAGGGAGCCATAGGAAGCCATTGGGACCCATAGGGAGCCATTGGGAGCCATTGGGAGCCATTGGGACCCATAGGGAGCCATAGGGGGCCATTGGGAGCCATTGGGACCCATAGGGAGCCACTGGGAGCCATTGGGAGCCATAGGGAGCCATTGGGACCCATTGGGAGTCATTGGGAGCCATTGGGACCCATAGGGAGCCACTGGGAGCCATTGGGAGCCATAGGGAGCCATTGGGACCCATTGGGAGTCATTGGGAGCCATTGGGACCCATAGGGAGCCATTGGGAGCCATTGGGACCCATAGGGAGCCATTGGGACCCATTGGGAGTCATTGGGAGCCATTGGGACCCATTGGGAGCCATAGGGAGCCATTGGGACCCATAGAGACCCATAGAGAGCCATTGGGAGCCATTGGGACCCATAGAGAGCCATTGGGAGCCATTGGGACCCATAGGGACCCATAGGGACCCATAGGGAGCCATTGGGAGTCATTGGGGGCCATTGGGAGCCATTGGGAGCCATTGGGACCAATTGGGACCCATAGGGACCCATAGGGACCCATTGGGAGCCATTGGGAGTCATTGGGGGCCATTGGGAGCCATTGGGACCCATAGGGACCCATAGGGAGCCATTGGGAGCCATTGGGACCCATAGGGACCCATTGGGACCCATTGGGACCCATAGGGACCCATAGGGAGCCATTGGGAGTCATTGGGAGCCATTGGGAGTCATTGGGACACATTGGGACACATTGGGACCCATAGGGAGCCATTGGGACCCATTGGGAGCCATAGGGAGCCATTGGGACCCATAGGGAGCCATAGGGAGCCATTGAGACCCATAGAGACCCATTGGGACCCATTGGGACCCATAGGGAGCCATTGGGAGCCTTTGGGACCCATAGGGAGCCATTGAGACCCATAGAGAGCCATTGGGACCCATAGGGAGCCATTGGCAGCCATAGGGAGCCATTGGGAGTCATTGGGAGCCATTGGGAGCCATTGGGACACATAGAGAGCCATAGGGACACACTGGGACCCATAGGGAGGCATAGGGACACATAGGGAGCCTTTGGGAACCATAGGGACCCATAGGGAGCCATAGGGAGCCATTGGGACACATAGGGAGCCATTGGGAGCCATTGGGAGCCATTGGGAGCCATAGGGAGCCATAGGGGGCCATTGGGAGCCATAGGGACCCATAGGGGGCCATTGGGAGTCATTGGGACCCATAGGGAGCCATTGGGAGCCATAGGGGGCCATTGGGACAAATAGGGAGCCATAGGGGGCCATAGAGACCCATAGAGCCCATCAAGACCCATAGAAGCCCACAAACACCCCATGGAGCCCTAAGACCACCCCCAAGCCCACCCCACAACCGCCCCACAACCACCCCCCAGCTGCCTCACAACCACCTCCATCTGCCCCACAACCACGCCCCAGCTGCCCCACAACCACCCCCTGGCTGCCCCACAACCACCCCCCGCCTGCCCCATAGCCGCCCCACAGCCGCCCCCTGGGAGCCCCACAACCACGCCCCGGCTGCCCCACAACCACCCCCCAGCTGCCCCAAAACCACCCCCCCTTTGCCCCACAGCCTCCCCACAGCCGCCCCACAGCCACCCCACAGCCACCCCACAGCCTCCCCACAGCCGCCCCACAGCCACCCCATAGCCGCCCCACACCTGCCCCACAGCCTCCCCATAGCCTCCCCACAGCTGCCCCACAGCCGCCCCACACCCTCCCCACAGCCTCCCCACGGCCGCCCCACGGCCGCCCCACACCCGCCCCACAGCCTCCCCAGAGCCGCCCCACAGCCGCCCCATAACCGCCCCACAGCCGCCCCATAACCGCCCCACAGCCGCCCCACAGCCTCCCCACACCCACCCCACAGCCTCCCCACACCCACCCCACACCCACCCCACTCCCGCCCCACACCCACCCCACACCCACCCCACAGCCGCCCCACACCCACCCCATAGCCGCCCCACACCCACCCCATAGCCGCCCCACACCCACCCCACACCCACCCCATAGCCGCCCCACAGCCGCCCCACAGCGCACCCGAGAGGCCGGTGAGGTCCATGGCGCGCAGGTTGGCGGCGCGGATGATGGTGACCGTGAGGCGCCCGGCCGTGGGGAGGTAGCACAGGGAGAAGTTGAGCTCGCCCAGGTCGGCCTTCTCCTGGCAATGGGGAGAGAGGGGATGTGGGGGGGGGGTGGGGGTTATGGGGTGAGGGGTGTGGGGTATGTGGGGTATGGGGTGTATTGAGTATGGGGTATGGGGTGTATGGGGTATGGGGTGTATGGGGTATGGGGTATGGGGTGTATGGGGTATAGGGGATATGGGGTGTGGGGTATATGGGGTATGAGATGTGGGGTGTATGGGGTATGGGGTGTGGGGTGTATTGGGTATGGGGTATGGGGTATAGGGGATATGGGGTGTGGGGTATATGGGGTATGAGATGTGGGGTATATGGGGTATGGGGTGTGGGGTGTATTGGGTATGGGGTGTATGGGGTATAGGAGATATGGGGTGTGGGGTATATGGGGTATGAGATGTGGGGTGTATGGGGTGTGGGGTGTATTGGGTATGGGGTATGGGGTGTATGGGGTATGGGGTGTATGGGGTATAGGGGAGATGGAGTGTGGGGTATATGGGGTATGAGATGTGGGGTATATGGGGTATGGGGTGTGGAGTGTATTGGGTATGGGGTGTATGGGGTATAGGGGATATGGGGTGTGGGGTATATGGGGTATGGGGTGTGGGGTGTATTGGGTATGGTGTATGGGGTGTATGGGGTATGGGGTGTATGGGGTATAGGAGATATGGGGTGTGGGGTATATGGGGTATGAGATGTGGGGTGTATGGGGTATGGGGTGTATGGGGTATGTGGGGCATGGGGTGTATGGGGTGTGGGGTATATGGGGTATATGGGGTATGGGGTGTATTGGTTATGGGGTATGGGGTGTACGGGGTGTGGGGTATGGGGTGTATGGGGTGTGGGGTATATGGGATATGGGGTATATGGGGTGTGGGTTGTATGGGGTGTGGGGTGTGGGTGAGGTTGAGGAGCAGAGGAAGCTGTTGGCGAAGACGTTGACGAAGACCTTGGAGAAGGCATCGGGGGAGCTGGGGATGAAGACGATGATGAAGGAGCTGGGGATGATGATGATGATGTCATTGATGATGATGACGATGATGTCATTGATGATGCCGTTGATGACGGCGTTGATGACATTGATGATGATGATGATGTCATTGATGATGTCGATGACGGCGTTGATGACATTGATGATGATGTCGTTGATGATGCCGTTGATGACAGCGTTGATGACATTGATGATGATGATGATGTCATTGATGATGCCATTGATGACAGCGTTGATGACATTGATGATGATGATGATGTCATTGATGATGCCGTTGATGACTGCGTTGATGACATTGATGATGACGATGATGTCATTGATGATGCCATTGATGACAGCGTTGATGACATTGATGATGATGATGATGTCATTGATGATGCCGTTGATGACTGCGTTGATGACATTGATGATGACGATGATGTCATTGATGATGCCGTTGATGACGGCGTTGATGACATTGATGATGATGATGATGTCGTTGATGACTGCGTTGATGACATTGATGATGATGTCGATGATGATGCCGTTGATGACGGCGTTGATGACACTGATGATGATGATGTCATTGATAATGTCGTTGATAACGGCGTTGATGACACTGATGATGATGATGATGTCATTGATGATGTCGATGACGGCGTTGATGACATTGATGATGATGATGATGTCGTTGATGATGCCGTTGATGACATTGATGATGACGATGATGTCATTGATGATGCCGTTGATGACGGCGTTGATGACATTGATGATGACGATGATGTCGTTGATGAAGCCGTTGATGATGGTGCTGATGACATTGAGGATGATGATGATGTCGTTGATGACGCCGTTGATGATGGTGCTGATGACATTGATGAGGATGATGATGCCGTTGATGACGGCGTTGATGACATTGATGATGATGATGATGTCGTTGATGACGCCATTGATGAGGATGATGATGCCGTTGATGACATTGATGATGATGATGATGTCGTTGATGACGCCATTGATGATGGCACTGATGACGTTGATGATGATGATGCCATTGATGAAGATGTAGATGCATGAAGCCGTTGACGATGGTGCTGATGACACTGATGATGATGATGCTGTTGATGATGATGAAGCTGTTGATGACGTTGATGGTGATGATGCTGTTGATGATGAAGCCATTGATACTGATGACGCTGTTGATGATGATGATGCTGTTGATGTTGATGATGCTGTCGATGATGATGACGCTGTTGATGATGGTGATGCCATTGATGTTCATGAAGCTGTCGATGATGATGATGATGATGATGATGATGATGATGCTGTTGACGATGACGATGATGCTGTTGATGATGATGATGCCATTGATGTTGGTGATGCTGTCGATGACGACGATGACGCTGTTGATGATGATGGTACTATTGATGTTGATGATGCTGTCGATGATGACGATGATGGTGCTATTGATGTTGATGATGCTGTCGATGATGATGATGATGATGCAATTGATGTTGATGATGCTGTCGATGATGACGACGCTGTTGATGATGATGTTGCCATTGATGTTGATGAAGCTGTTGATGATGCTGTCGATGATGATGATGCTATTGATGTTGATGATACTGTCAATGATGATGATGACACTGTCGATGATGATGATGATGCCATTGATGTTGATGATGCTGTCGATGATGACGCTGTTGAGGATGATGATGCCATTGATGTTGATGAAGCTGTTGATGATGCTGTTGATGATGACGCTGTTGAGGATGATGATGCCATTGATGTTGATGAAGCTGTTGATGATGCTATTGATGTTGATGATGCTGTCAATGATGACAATGACGCTGTTGATGATGATGATGATGCCATTGATGTTGATGAAGCTGTTGATGTTGTTGATGATGACGATGATGCTGTTGATGATGATGATGCTGTCAATGATGACAATGACACTGTTGATGATGATGATGCCATTGATGTTGATGCTGCTGTCGATGATGATGACACTGTTGAGGATGATGATGCCATTGATGTTGATGAAGCTGTTGATGACGCTGTCGATGATGATGATGCTATTGATGTTGATGATGCCATTGATGTTGATGAAGCTGTTGATGATGCTGTCGATGATGATGATGACGCTGTTGATGATGCCATTGATGTTGATGCTGCTGTCGATGATGATGACACTGTTGAGGATGATGATGCCATTGATGTTGATGAAGCTGTTGATGACGCTGTCGATGATGATGATGCTATTGATGTTGATGCCATTGATGTTGATGAAGCTGTTGATGATGCTGTCGATGATGATGATGACGCTGTTGATGATGATGATGCCATTGATGTTGATGCTGCTGTCGATGATGATGACGCTGTTGAGGATGATGATGCCATTGATGTTGATGAAGCTGTTGATGACGCTGTCGATGATGATGATGCTATTGATGTTGATGATGCCATTGATGTTGATGAAGCTGTTGATGATGCTGTCGATGATGACGATGACGCTGTTGATGATGATGATGCCATTGATGTTGATGCTGCTGTCGATGATGATGACGCTGTTGAGGATGATGATGCCATTGATGTTGATGCTGCTGTCGATGACAACAATGACACTGTTGATGATGATGATGCCATTGATGTTGATGATGTTGTCGATGATGATGACGCTGTTGAGGATGATGATGCCATTGATGTTGATGAAGCTGTTGATGATGCCATTGATGTTGATGCTGCTGTCGATGACGACAATGACACTGTTGACGCCGCCGCCGATCTCGATGCCGCTATTGACTCCGTCGCCGCCGCCATCGATGCCATCGCCTCTCTTCACGCCCCCACCCCCCCCATCTTCCCCCCCATCTCCCTCACCCCTCCTCCCTCCACGATGTCCCTCCAGAGGGGCTCGTCGGCGCCGCGCTCGGCCGCCTCCAGCAGGTTGCCCATCACCACGCTGCCCACCAGCTCGTGCCGCCCGAAGCGCTCGAAGTCGTAGACGCCGAAGTGGAGGCGCCGCGCCGGGAGCTCGCCGAAGGGCACGGCGAAGGCGAAGGCCTCGTCGAAGACCGGCTCCCGCGTGCGCCGTTGCACCCGGGTCTGGAACTTCCTCTTCCGGTCGGGGAGGAGATGGATACGGACGTAGGGGTCGCCACCGCCATGGGGGCCTTTGGGGGGCAGTTGGGTGGCGCGGAGCACGCGCACCACCAACTGTTGGGTGCCGAAGGAGTAGCGCAGCGCAACGCACAAGCGGCCCCGCGTGGCGCCGCTACCGCCCGTGGGGAGCAAGGGGGAGCTGGAGGGGGCGCCGGTGGGGAGGGAGGCCCCCGAGGCAGGGAGGGGAAGGGAGGAAGAGGAAGAGGAGGAGGCGGCGGCGGCGGCACCGGCGCCGTAGAGCTCGGGTTGGATCTGGCCCAGTGAAGGAGCGGGGGGGTCCTCGGAGGTGCTGGGGGGAGACGGGAGCCATAGATGGGGTACCACGGCCAGAGCCCGTGTAACCCATAGACCCCATAGCCCATAGACCCCATAGCCCATAGACCCCATAGCCCATATATCCCATATAACTCATATATCGCGTACCCCACATCCCATACCCTATGTACCCCATATCCCATACCCCATATCCCATACCACAAATATCTCATACCCCATACCCCATATATCCCATACCCCATATCCCATACAGCACATACCCCATATCCCCCGTATCCCATATCCCATACCCCATATCCCGTACCTCATACCCCACACCCCACATATCCCATACCCCATATATCCCATATCCCATACCCCATACCCCACATATCCCATACCCCATATACCCCATATGCCATACCCCATACCCCACATATCCCATACCCCATATACCCATTACCCATATACCCCATACCCCATACCCTATATCCCATACCCCATATACACCATATACCCCATACCCCATATACCCCATACCCCCCATATCCCCCCATACCCCACATATCCCATACCCCATATACCTCATATCCCATACCCCAATACCCCATATCCCATACCCCATATACCCCATACACCCCACACCCCATATCCCATACCCCATATACACCATATACCCCATACCCCAAATCCCATACCCCATATACTCCATATCCCACACCCCATATACACCATATACCCCATACACCCCATACCCCCCATATCCCACATATCCCATACCCCATATCCCAAAGCCTATATACCCCATATCCCATACCCCATACATCCTATACCCCATATCCCATACCCCATGCCCCATATACCCCATACCCCACATATCTCATACCCCATATACCCCATACACCCCATATAGCACATATCCCATACCCCATATCCCATTCCCCATATCCCCCATATCCCATACCCCATATCCCCCATATCCCATACCCCACATATCCCATACCCCATATCCCGCACCCCATATCCCATACCCCATATCCCACACCCCATATCTCATACTCCATATACACCATATCCCCCATATCCCATACCCCACATACCCCATATACCCCATACATCCTATACCCCATATCCCATACCCCATACACCCCATATCCCACATATCCCATACCCCATACCCCACACCCCATATACCCCATACCCCATATCCCCCATACCCCACACCCCCCATAACCCCCCTCCAGCCCCACATACCTTCCGGCCACCCCCACCTGCACCGAGGTGGCCCTGCTCATTGTCCCCAGCGCCGCCGCCTCCCCCCCCCCCCCATCCTGCGCTACCCCGGGGGGGGGTGCACCCTGACCAGGGTGGGTGGGTGGGGGGCCCCCTATGGGGCAGGGCCCCATATCCAAGTAGCAGCGCTCAGGTTGAGCCGGAGGAGGGGGGGGGTCACTTCCTTGCTCCCCTCTTTCATAGAGGGGGTCCCCAAAGAGGCCCCCACCGATGTGGGGGGGCTCTTTACGGGGGGGGCCCCCCCCGGAGCCCTCTTTATGGCGCCAGGGCACCCAACAGAGCTTCCAGGACACGAAGAGGGAGACCCCGAGCAGCACCAGGCCACAGAAGGTGACGATGACCGAGAGGAGGCTGACCGAGACCTCTGCAATGCAATGGGGTGGTGGGGGGGGGGGGCCCCATAGGTGGGGGGGGGTCCCCTAGAGATGGGGGGGGCCCTATAGATGGGGGCATACGTATAGATGGGGGGGCCCTATAGATGGGGGCGTCCATATAGATGGGGGGGTCCTAGAGATGGGGGGGAGGCCCTAGAGGTGGGGGGGGCCCTATAGGTGGGGGGGGGGCCTATAGGTGGGGGAGTCCCCTATAGATGGGGGCATCCGTATAGATGGGGGGGCCCTATAGATGGGGGCGTCCATATAGATGGGGGGGTCCTAGAGATGGGGGGTCTCCTATAGGTGGGGGGGTCCTATAGATGTGGGCATTCATATAGATGGGGGGTACTAGAGATGGGGGGGTCCCCTATAGGTGGGGGGGGGCCCTATATGTGGGGGGGCCCTATAGATGGGGGCATACATATAGATGGGGGGGTCCTAGGGATGGGGGGGTTCCCCTATAGGTGGGGGGGGCCCTATAGATGGGGGCGTTCATATAAATGGGGGGTCCTAGAGATGGGGGGGTCCCCTAGAGATGGGGGGGTCCATATAGATGGGGGTCCCCTATAGGTGGGGGGGGTCCCCTATAGATGGGGGGGGGGCCTATAGATGGGGGGGGCCTATAGATGGGGGCATCCATATAGATGGGGGGGGTCCCCTATACATTGGGGGGTCCATATAGATGGGGGGGGTCCCTTATAGGTGGGGGGGTCCATATAGATGGGGGGCCCATATAGATGGGGGCATCCGCATAGATGGGGGGGTCCATATAGATGGGCTTCCCCTATAGGTGTGGGGGTCCCCTATAGGTGGGGGGTCCCCTATAGATGGTGATGTCTGTATAGATGTGGGGGTCCCCTATAGGTGGGGGTGTCCATATAGGTGGGGGTGTCCATATAGATGGGGGGTCCATATAGATGGGGGGGCCCTATAGATGGGGGGGTCCTAGAGATGGGGGGCCCTATAGATGGGAGGTGACCTATAGATGGGGGGGTCCATATAGATGGGGGGGGCCTAGAGATGGGGGGGCCCTATAGATGGGGGGACCCATATAGATGGGAGGGGTCCCCTATAGATGGGAAGGGTCCCCTATAGATGGGAGGGGTCCATATAGATGGGGGCGTCCGTATAGATAGGGGGGTCCATATAGATGGGGGTCCCCTATACGTGTGGGGGTCCCCTATAGATGGGGGGGTCCATATAGATGGGGGTGGTCCCCTATAGGTGAGGGTGTCCATATAGATGGGGGTGTCCATATAGATGGGGGGGGCCCTATAGATGGGGGGGGGGGCCCTATAGGTGGGGGGGTCCTAGAGATGGGGGGGTCTTCTATAGATGGCGGGGTCCATATAGATGGGAGGGCCCTACAGATGGGCAGGACCTATAGATGGGAAGGGCCCTATAGATGGGAAGGGCCCTATAGATGGGGGGGGTCCCCTATAGATGGGCGGGCCTATAGGTGGGGATCCCCCATAGATGGGAGGGGCCCTATAGATGGAGGCGCCCTATAGATGGGGGTCCTATAGACAGGAGGGTCCATAGGTGGCAATGGGGGGGTCCATAGGGGTCCATGGGGGTGTCCATAGGGGTCAATGGGGGGGTCCATTGATGTCAATGGGGGGTCAATGAGGGGTCCATAGATGTCAATGGGGGTATAATGGGGGGGTCCATAGGGGTCTATGGGGGTGTCCACAGATGTCAATGGGGGGGGCCATAGGTGTCAATGGGGGGGTCCATAGGTGTCAATGGGGGGTCCATAGATGTCAATGGGGGGGGTCAATATTTTTCAATGGGGGGGTCCACAGGTGTCAATGGGGGGGTCCATTGATGTCAATGGGGGGTCCATAGGTGTCAATGGGGGGGGTCCATTGATGTCAATGCGGGGTCCATAGGTGTCAATGGGGGGGTCCATAGGTGTCAATGGGGGGTCAATAGGGGGGTCCATAGGTGTCAATGGGGGGGTCCATTGATGTCAATGGGGGGGTCCATTGATGTCAATGGGGGGTCCAAAGGTGTCAATGGGGGGGGTCCATAGGGGTCAATGGGGGGGTCCATTGATGTCAGTGGGGGGTCCATAGGTGTCAATGTGGGGGTCCATAGGGGTCCATGGGGGTGTCCATAGGGGTCAATGGGGGTGTCCATAGGGGTCAATGGGGGGGTCCAATGGGGGGTCAATGGGGGGGTCCATTGATGTCAATGGGGGGTCCATAGGTGTCAATGGGGGTGTCCATAGATGTCAATGGGGGGGTCCATAGGTGTCAATGGGGGTGTCCATAGATGTCAATGGGGGGATCCATTGATGTCAGTGGGGGGTCCATTGATGTCAATGGGGGGGTCCATAGGTGTCAATGGGGGGGTCCATAGGTGTCAATGGGGGGTCCAAAGGTGTCAATGGGGGGGTCCATAGGTGTCAATGGGGGGGTCCAATGGGGGGTCAATGGGGGGGTCCATTGATGTCAATGGGGGGTCCATAGGTGTCAATGGGGGTGTCCATAGATGTCAATGGGGGGGTCCATAGGTGTCAATGGGGGGGTCCATTGATGTCAATGGGGGGGTCCATAGGTGTCAATGGGGGGGTCCATAGGTGTCAATGGGAGGGTCCATTGATGTCAATGGGGGGGTCCATAGGTGTCAATGGGGGGGTCCATAGGGGTCTATGGGGGTGTCCACAGATGTCAATGGGGGGGTCCATAGGTGTCAATGGGGGGGTCCATAGATGTCAATGGGGGGGTCCATTGGTGTCAATGGGGGGGTCCATAGGTGTCAATGGGAGGGTCCATTGATGTCAATGGGGGGGTCCATAGGTGTCAATGGGAGGGTCCATTGATGTCAATGGGGGGGTCCATAGGTGTCAATGGGGGGGTCCATAGGGGTCTATGGGGGTGTCCATAGGGGTCTATGGGGGGGTCCATAGGTGTCAATGGGGGGGTCCATAGGTCTCAATGGGGGGGTCCATAGGTGTCAATGGGGGGGTTCATAGATGTCAATGGGGCGGTCCATTGATGTCAATGGGGGGTCCATAGGTGTCAATGGGGGGTCCATAGATGTCAATGGGGGGGTCCATACGTGTCAATGGGGGGGTCCACTGATGTCAATGGGGGGTCCATAGGTGCCAACGGGGGGGTCCATAGGTGTCAATGGGGGGGTCCACTGATGTCAATGGGGGTCCATAGGTGTCAATGGGGGGGTCCATAGGTGTCAATGGGGGGGTTCATAGATGTCAATGGGGGGTCCATAGGTGTCAATGGGAGGGTCCATAGATGTCAATGGGGGGGTCCATAGGTGTCAACGGGGGGGTCCATAGGTGTCAATGGGAGGGTCCACAGATGTCAATGGGGGGGTCCATAGGTGTCAATGGGGGGGTCCATAGGTGTTAACGGGGGGGTCCATAGGTGTCAATGGGGGGGTCCATAGATGTCAATGGGGGGGGTCCATCACTGACCGTGCTGCGGGGGGGGGTGCCCGCGCTGCCTCAGGATGTCGCTGAACTCCAGGCAGGTCTCGGGGGGGGGCCGGGCCCGGGGGGGGGCGAAGCAGAGCTCGTGCACGAGCCCCAGAGCCCGGCGGCAGACGTCGTCCTCCACGTCCCCAGACATGGCCCTGGGGGGGGGAGCAATGGGGCCTCAGGGGGGGGCTCCAGTGCGGCCTCAATGGGGCCTCAATGGGGTTTCTATGGGGGCTGCAAAGGGGCCTGAATGGGGCTTCAATGGGGCTTGAATGGGGCGTCAATGGGGTCTGCAAAGGGGCCTCAATGGGGCTTCAATGAGGGCTGCAAAGGGGCCTGGATGGGGCTTCAATGGGGCTTCAATGGGGCTTGAATGGGGTTCAGTAGGGCTTCACTGGGGCCTCAATGGGGCTTCAATGGGGGCTGAAAAGGCGCCTGAATGGGGCTTGAATGGGGCGTCAATGAGGCTTCAATGGGGCCTGAATGGGGTTTCAATGGGGCATGAATGGGGCCTCAATGGGGTCTGCAAAGGGGCCTGAATGAGGCTTCAATGGGGGCTGCAAAGGGGCCTGGATGGGGCTTCAATGGGGCGTCAATGGGGTTTCAATGGGGCTTGAATGGGGCCTCAATGGGGTCTGCAAAGGGGCCTGAATGGGGCTTCAATGGGGTTCAATAGGGCCTCAATGGGGGCTTCAATGGAGCCTCAATGGGGCTTGAATGGGGTTCAGTAGGGCTTCACTGGGGCCTCAATGGGGCTTCAATGGGGGCTGCAAAGGGGCCTGAATGGGGCTTGAATGGGGCTTGAATGGGGCCTGAATGGGGTTCAATAGGGCCTCAATGGGGGCTGCAAAGGGGCCTGAATGGGGCTTGAATGGGGCTTGAATGGGGCCTGAATGGGGTTCAATAGGGCCGCAATGGGGCCTCAATGGGGCTTCAATGGGGGCTGCAAAGGGGCCTGAATTGGGCTTCAATGGGGCTTGAATGGGGTTTCAATGGGGCTTGAATGGGGCCTGAAAGGGGCTTCAATGGGGCCTCAATGGGGGCTTCAATGAGGCCTTCAAAGGGGTTTCAATGGGGCTTGAATGGGGATTGAATGGGGTTCAGTGGGGCTTGAATGGGGCCTGAATGGGGCTCAGTGGGGCTTGAATGGGGCTTGAATGGGGCCTCAATGGGGTTCAATGGGGCCTCAATGGGGTTCAATGGGGTTCAATTGGGTTCAATGGGGCCTCAATGGGTTTCAATGGGGCCTCAATGGGGTTCAATGGGTTTCAATGGGGCTCAATGGGGTTCAATGGGGCCTCAATGGGTTTCAATGGGGCTCAATGGGGTTCAATGGGGTTCAATGGGGCCTCAATGGGTTTCAATGGGGCTCAATGGGGTTCAATGGGGCCCTTCACTGACAAAGGGGTCGTTCCCCCCCCTCTCCCCCCCCCCAGTCACCTCTGTCTCCTCCTTGCACACGGGGGGGGGGGAGTTGGGGGTCAGTGGGGGCCGGGGGGGGGCACTTGTACAAGGCGGGGGCCGGGCCGGGCCATGCAGCACCAGGGCAATGGAGCCCTATGGGGAGAGACAACACTGGGGGGGGGGGGGGGGGATGAACCCCCCCTGCCCCATAAGTGACCCCCACACCCCATATCCGACCCCCCCAGACCCATAAGTGACCCCTCCTGCCCCATAAGTGACCCCGACAGACCCATATCTGAACCCCCCTGCCCCATAAGTGATCCCGCCAGACCCATATCTGAACCCCCTGCCCCATAACTGACCCCCCTGACCCATAGCTGACCCTTCCCAACCCATAAGTGACCCCTCCCGACCCATAAGTGACTCCCCCAGACCCATAACTGATTCCCACAGACCCATAAGTGACCCCCCCCAGACCCATATCTGAACCCCCTGCTCCATATCTGACCCCCCTGACCCCTAAGTGACCCCCTGCCCCATAAGTGACTCCCCCAGACCCATAACTGACCCCCCCAGACCCATATCTGAACCCTCCTGACCCATAAGTGACCCCCCTGTCCCATAAGTGACCACCCCAGACCCATAACTGACACCCCTGCCCCATAAGTGACCACCCCAGACCCATAACTGACCCCCCTGCTCCATAAGTGATCCCCCCCAGGCCCATATCTGAACCTCCCGCCGCATATCTGACCCCTCCCGACCCATAAGTGACCCCCCCTGCCCCATAAGCGACCCCTCCCGGCCCATAAGTGACCCCCCACCCCATAGATCTGCCCCATAGACCTGCCCCTATTCCTGCCCCCCCAAACCTGCCCCATATACATTCCTCCCCATTCCTGCCCCATAGACCTGCCCCCATTCCTGCCCCATGCACATCCCCTCCCCATAGACCTGCCCCATAGACCTACCCCTCTTCCTGCCCCCCCAAACCTGCCCTACACACATTCCCCCCCATTCCTGCCCCATAGACCTGCCCCCATTCCTGCCCCCCCATTCCTGCCCCATGCACATTTCCCCCCCATAGCCCTGCCCCTCTTCCTGCCCCTCCAAACCTGCCCCATACACATTCCCCCCCATTCCTTCCCCATAGCCCTGCCCCTATTCCTGCCCCATACACATTCCCCCCCATAGATCTTCCCCATAGACCTGCCCCTATTCCTGCCCCCCCAAACCTGCCCCATACACATTCCCCCCCCATTCCTGCCCCATAGACCTGCCCCCATTCCTGCCCCCCCCAAACCTGCCCCATACACATTCCCCCCCCCATTCCTGCCCCATAGACCTGCCCCTCTTCCTGCCCCCCAAACCTGCTCTATACACACTCCCCCACCATTCCTGCCCCATAGACCTGCCCCATACACATTCCCCCCCATTCCTGCCCCATAGACCTGCCCCCATTCCTACACCCCCATTCCTGCCCCATGCACATTCCCCCCCCATTCCTTCCCCATAGCCCTGCCCCCATTCCTGCCCCCCCATTCCTGCCCCATAGACGTGTCTCCCCTCTGCCCCATAGCCTGCCCCATAGATCTCCATCCCCGCTCCCGACCGGGCCCGCTCTCACCTGCCCTACCGAGCCGAGCCGAGCGCCTCCGAACCGGCCCGAACCCCCCCGAACCGACGCGAACGTCCCCGAGCGGCGCCGGCCTCGGGCCCGACGGGAGCCGACCTGGCCCGAACCGGCTCCGAGCGCTGCCGAACCGACCCGAACCGGCCCGGATGGAGCCGAGAGGAGCCGAACCGACCCGAACCGGCCCGAGCGGAGCCGAATGGAGCCGAGCGGAGCCGAGCGGAGCCGAACAGAGCCGAACGGAGCCGAACCGGCCCGGATGGAGCCGAGCGGAGCCGAACGGAGCCGAACCGACCCGAACCGGCCCGAACGGAGCCGAACGGAGCCGAGCGGAGCCGAACCGGCCCGGATGGAGCCGAACGGAGCCGAACGGAGCCGAACCGGCCCGAACGGAGCCGAACCGGCCCGAACGGAGCCGAACCGGCCCGGATGGAGCCGAACGGAGCCGAACGGAGCCGAGCACCGCCCGACCGGTGCCGGCAGGTGCCGAGAGGATGCGGCGCCGCTCGGCGCCGCTAGGGGCGCTCGAGGGACAGGAGGGAGGGTGGGAGGAGACCCCTATGGGGGGGTTAAAGGTATAGGGGGTCCCTATGGGGGGGTTAAAGGTATAGGGGGTCCCTATGGGGGGTTAAAGGTATAGGGGGGTCCCTATGGGGGGGTTCAAGGTATAGGGGGTCCCTATGGGGGGTTAAAGGTATAGGGGGTCCCTATGGGAGGTTAAAGGTATAGGGGGTCCCTATGGGGGGTTAAAGGTATAGGGGGTCCCTATGGGGGGTTAAAGGTATAGGGGGTCCCTATGGGGGGGTTAAAGGTATAGGGGGTCCCTATGGGGGCTTAAAGGTATAGGGGGTCCCTATGGGGGGGTTAAAGGTATAGGGGTCCTATGGGGGGGTAAAGGTATAGTGGGTTCTATGGGGGTTAAAGGTATAGGGGTCCTATGGGGGGTTAAAGGTATAGGGGGCCCCTATGGGGATTATATGGGGGGTTAAAGGTATAGCGGATCTCTATGGGGGTTATATGGGGGGTTAAAGGTATAAGGGCTCCCTATGGGCGGTTAAAGCTATAGGGGATCCCTATGGGGGTTATATGGGGGTTAAAGGTATAGCGGGTCCCTATGGGGGTTACATGGGGGGTTAAAGGTATAAAGGGTCCCTATGGGGGGTTAAAGGTATAGGGGGTCCCTATGGGGGTTTAAAGCTATAGGGGGTCCCTATGGGGATTATATGGGGGGTTAAAGGTATAGAGGGTCCCAATGGGGGGTTAAAGGTATAGGGGGTCCCTATGGGGGTTATATGGGGGTTTAAAGGTATAGGGTGTCCTATGGGGGTTATATGGGGGGGTTAAAGGTATAGGGTGTCCCTATGGAGGTCTTGAAGCTATAGGGGGTCCTTATGGCTATGGGGGGAGGGGGAAACGACACCCTCTGTGGGTCCCCCATGTGGGTCATGCCTATAGGGAGGGAGCTATGGGGTGCCGGGCACCTATCTATAGGGGGGTGCCTATATGGCGGGGGCACCTCTATAAGGGGATCACGTATAGCCTGGGGGGTCCCTATAGGGTATGTATGGGGGGGGGCACCCTCTTTGCACCCCCACCCCCCTTCCCCTCCCCTCCCTGCCCCACGTGACCCATCAACTCCGCCACTAATTAAGCCATTAATTAATCCATTAATTCATTAATTAACTCATTAATTACACCCGAACCGCGCGGCACCGGGGGGGGGGGGGGGGGGGCAGCGGTGGCAGAGCGGGGAAAGTGGGCGGGGCTTAAGGGGAAGGGGGGGCGGGGCGTGAGGAAAGGGGCGGGGTCACCCGAGGGGGCGTGGCCTTTGGGAGGGGGTCCTTTATGGGGGCGGGGCCTTGGGGGGGGGAAGGGGGTTAGAACGTGGGGGGGAGGGGGGGGTCATTGAAGCCCCGCCCCCTCCCCCTCCGCCCGTTTAAGCCCCGCCCCCTCCGGTCACAGTGTATCCGGGTGCGCCCCTCCCCCCCTCAGGCCACGCCCCCTGTCCCGTCCCTCCCCCCCCCGTTGGGGGGGGCGGAGTTTAGGGGGGGGCGGGGCGCTGGAAGACATTCGTGATTGGTCGTTGCCTCGGGGGGGGGGGGCGGGGTGAGGGGCGGGGCGAGGCGCCACGACACGAGCCCTTAGAGATGGGAGGGGGGGGGGAGGGGAGGAAGGGGAGGGAGGGGCAGGGGGGAGCATGCTGGGGGGGCGGGGCACGCGATCACGTGACTGGGTGTGCACCGGGACACGTGTGTGCAAAGGGACATGTGAGGTCATGTGTGTGCACGGGGACATGTATGTAAAGGGACACGTGTGTGCAAAGGGACATGTGAGGTCATGTGTGTGCACAGGGACATGTGAGGTCATGTGTGTGCACGGGGACATCTGAGGTCATGTGTCTGCATGGGGACGTGTGAGGTCATGTGTGTGCATGGGGACATGTATGTAAAGGGTCATGTGTGTGCACGGGGACATGTGAGGTCATGTGTGTGCATGGGGACATGTATGTAAAGGGACACGTGTGCACAGGGACATCTGAGGTCATGTGTGTGCATGGGGATGTGTGAGGTCATGTGTGTGCATGGGGACATGTATGTAAAGGGACACATGTGTGCATGGGGACATGTGAGGTCATGTGTGTGCATGGGGACATGTATGTAAAGGGACACGTGTGTGCATGGGGACATGTGAGGTCATGTGTGTGCATGGGGACATGTATGTAAAGGGACACGTGTGTGCACAGGGACATGTGAGGTCATGTGTGTGCACGGGGATATGTATGTAAAGGGTCACGTGTGTGCATGGGGACATGTATGTAAAGGGTCATGTGTGTGCATGGGGACATGTATATAAAGGGACACGTGTGTACAGGGGACATGTATGTAAAGGGACACGTGTATACAGGGGACAGGTATGTAAAGGGTCACGTGTGTGCACAGGGACATGTATGTAAAGGGACACGTGTGTACACGTATGTGCACAACGGGACATGTGGGGTTACATGTGTGTGTAAAGGAATATGCGTGTGCAAGGGGATGCATGTGCACAAAGGGACATGTGAGTGCACGTATGTTAAGGGCACAAGTGTGTGTGTAAAGGGACACGTGTGTGCACACGTATGTGTATAGGGATGCGTGTGTGCACATGTGTGTGTAAAGGGCCACTTGTGTGCACACGTATGTGTATAGGGATGCGTGTGTGCACGTGTGTGTAAAGGGACACGTGTGCCCATGTATGTGCAAGGGGCATGGATGTATGCAAGGAGAACGCGTGTGCATGCGTGTGCACAGGGACATGTGTGCACACGCGTGTGCAAGGCCACTTCCATGTATGTGCATGTCACCCCCCCGTGCTGGCATGTGCAAGGGCACAAGCGTGTGTGACACGTGTGTGCATGTGTGTGTGCACGGGGACATGTGTGTGCATGTGTGTGCATGGGGGCATGTGTGTGCACGTGTGTGCATGGGGACATGTGTGTGCATGTGTGTGCATGGGGGCATGTGTTGCATGTGTGTGCATGGGGGCATGTGTGCACATGTGTGTGCATGGGGACATGTGTGTGCATGTGTGTGCATGGGGACATGTGTGTGCACGTGTGTGCATGGGGGCATGTGTGCGCACGTGTGTGCATGGGGACATGTGTGTGCATGTGTGTGCATGTGGGCATGTGTTGCATGTGTGTGCATGGGGGCATGTGTGCACACGTGTGTGCATGGGGACATGTGTGTGCATGTGTGTGTGCATGGGGACGTGTGTGCACACATGTGTGCAGGTGGACATGTGTGTGCATGGGGACGTGTGTGCATGTGTGTGTGCATGGGGACATGCGTGCACACGTGTGTGTGCATGTGGACATGTGTGCACACGTGTGTGCATGCATGTGTGGAGGGGGGCATTTGTGTGTGTGTGAGGGCACATCCATGTCCCATTGCACATCCATGTCGTGTCACATGTCCGTGTCCCATTGCACATCCATGTCCTGGTCCATGTCCCATTGCACATCCATGTCGTGTCACATGTCCATGTCCCGTTGCATATCCATGTCGTGTCACGTCTGTGTCCCATTGCACATCCATGTCCCATCGCATGTCTACATGTCATTGCACATCAACAGCTCATTGCACATCCATGTCCCGTTGCACATCCATGACCCATTGCATGTCCGTGTTCCATTGCACATCCATGTCTTCTTGCACATCCATGTCCTGCTGCACATCCCTGTCCCATTCCATGTCCACATCTCATTCCATGTCCATATCTCGTTGCACATCCATGCCCTATTCCATGTCCATGTCTCATTGCACATCCCTGTCCCATTGCATGTCCATATCTCATTGCACATCCATGTCCTATTCCATGTCCATGTCTCATTCCATGTCCATATCTCATTGCACATCCATGTCCTATTCCATGTCCATATCTCATTGCACATCCCTGTCCCATTGCATGTCCATATCTTATTGCACATCCATGTCCTATTCCATGTCCATATCTCGTTGCACATCCATGTCCCATTGCATGTCCATGTCTCATTGCACATCCCTGTCCCATTGCGTGTCCATGTCTCATTGCACATCATGTCCCATTGCATGTCCATGTCTCATTGCACATCCATGTCCCATTGCGTGTCTATGTCTCATTGCACATCCCTGTCCCATTGCATGTCCATATCTCATTGCACATCCATGTCCATGTCTCATTGCGTGTCCATGTCCATATCTCATCGCACATCCATGTCCATGTCTCATTGCGTGTCCATGTCCATATCTCGTTGCACATCCATGTCCATGTCTCATTGCACATCCATGTCCATATCTCATTGCACATCCATGTCCATGTCTCATTGCACGTCCATGTCCATATCTCGTTGCACGTCCATGTCCATATCTCGTTGCACATCCATGTCCATATCTCGTTGCACATCCATGTCCATGTCTCATTGCACGTCCATGTCCATATCTCATTGCACATCCATATCTCATTGCATGTCCATATCTCGTTGCATGTCCATATCTCGTTGCACATCCACGTCCATATCTCATCGCGCATCCCTGTCCCATTCCTTGTCCACGTCCACGCCGCACGTCCACCTTCCCTCTTCCTCCTCCTCTTCCTCCTCGTCGCCGTGGTCCTTCTCCCGCCGCTCCCCGCTCCGCTCTGCCCTCACCTCTCCAGGAAGACCTTGAGGGCCCGGTCGATGTTCATGCGGTGCCCGACGCGCGTCACCCCCAGGTCGATGTAATCCTCCTTGGTCAACGAGGGCAGATGGGAGCCGTCGATCTCGTTGTGCAAGAACCGCGCTCGGTGCTCGCCCAGGTTCAGGTATTCCAACCAATCGGCCACGTCGAACTTGCTCCAGAAAGCCAATGGCTTCGCTCCGAAGGGTTTATCGGGGGGGGGAGGCGGAGGCCTCGTTGGGGACAAGGACCTAGCGCTGGCCCCGTCCCCGAAGGGCCCCCCCCGCAGCTCCAGGAAGCCGGCGTAGAGCGGAGCCGCCGGTAACGTGGGCAGCGAGGCCGGGCGCGGAGCGGGGCTGCCCCGGCGCTCGCTGGGCAGCGTGGCCGGGCTCGGGGCGCGGCGAAGCGGGGGGCGGATGTCCAGGTCTACCCCGACCCCGCTTAAAGGGGATTTAGGGGCCGGGGGCCAGTTGGGGAAGAGGATGGAGGAAGGGGAGATGGAGGAGGAAGGGGGGGGCTTGGAGGGTTGCGAGGGAGGGGGGGGGTCCGGGAGCCTGTGGGGAGGAAGGGGGAGGGGTGTTAGAAAAGAGGGGGATCGTTGGGGACAATGGGGACGATGAGGTCAATGGGGACAATAGGGTTGATGGGGACAATGGGGTCAATGGGCACAATGGAGAAGATGGGGACAATGGGGTCAATGGGCACAATGGGGATGATGGGGACAATAGGGTTGATGGGGACAACAGGGATGATGGGGACAATGGGGTCAATGGACACAATGGGGATGATGGGGACAATGGGGATAATGGGGTCAATGGGGATGATGGGCACAATGGGGTCAATGGGCACAATGGCGTCGATGGGCACATTGGCGTCGATGGGCACAATGGGGATGATGGGGACAATGGGGTCAATGGGCACAATGGGGATGAAGGGCACAATAGGGTCGATGGGGACAACGGGGACAATGGGGATGATGGGGTCAATGGGCACAATGGGGTCGATGGGCACAATGAGGTCAATGGGCACAATGGGGATGATGGGGACAATGGGGTCAATGGGCACAATGGGGATGATGGGCACAGTGGGGTCAATGGGCACAATGGGAATGATGTACATGATAGATGTGATGCGTTGATGGGCATGGTGGGATCATGGATGCGATGGGGATGATAGGGATGATGGGGAGACGGGTTGATGGACATGGTGTACTTGATGGGGGTGATGGAGGTGATGGGGTGATGGAGACGATGGGGTGATGGACATGGGGTGATGGACATGGTGGGACCAATGGGCACAATGGGGCTGATGGACACGTTGAACGTGATGGGGCAATGGGATGGGGAGACAGACATGATGGGGCAGTGGGGTGATGGACATGATGAGTTGATGGACATGATGGGGTCAATGGACACAAATGGGGGTGATGGGGGGCAACGGACATAATGGGGGTGATGGACACGGTGGGTCGATGGACATGGTGGGTCAATGAGCTCAATGGGGGTGATGGACACTGGGTGCAATGGAGGTGCTTGAGAAGGGTGTGATGGGTGCAACACCAAAACACAACTGTACACCCCCCCCCCAATGGGTGCCATGTCCGGCAGATCCATGCAGCGGCTGCAATGGGTGCCATGGGTGCCATGGGTGCAATGGGTGTCACGGTTGCATTGTCCTGCTGCCTCTACAGTGGCTGTAATGGGTGCCATGTGCAATGGGTGCAGTGCCATGATCTGTGATGGGTGCTGGGTGCCACGTTTCTTATACCCATGCAACGGCTGCAATGGGTGCCATGGGTGCCGTACCGGCGTCAATGCATGCAACAGCTGCAACGGGTGCTGGGTGCCATGTGTGCCGTGGGTGCCACAAGTGCAATGGGCGCCATGTGTACAATGGGTGCTATGTCCCCCTTATGGCTATAGATGCCATGGGTGCCATGAGCGTCATGGGTGCAATGGGTGCTGGGTGCCATGGGTGCAACATCCCCGTCCATGCAATGGCCTCAATATGTACAGTGGGTGCCATGAGTGCAAAGGGTGCCATGGCTGCAATGGGTGCAATGAATGCAATGGATGCCATGAGTTTAATGGATGCAATGGGTGCAATGGATGCCATGGGTGCTATGTCTGCCATGGGTGCAATAGGTGCTATGGCTTCAATGGGTTCAATGACTGCTATGGCCGCAATGGGTGCCATGGATGCCATGGGTTCAATGGGTGCAATGGCTTCAATGGCTGCCATGGGTTCAATGGGTGCTATGGACGCAATGGATGCCATGGGTGCTTTGGCTTCAATGGGTGCCATTGCTGCAATGGGTTCAATGACTGCTATGGGTGCTATGGCTGCAATGGGTGCCATGGATGCCATGGGTTCAATGGGTGCAATGGGTGCCATTGATGCCATGGGTTCAATGGGTGCAATGGGTTCAATGGGTGCTATGGACGCAATGGGTTCAATGGGTGCCATAGACGCAATGGATGCCATGGGTGCTTTGGCTTCAATGGGTGCCATGGGTGCCATGGATGCCATGGGTTCAATGGGTGCAATGGGTTCAATGGGTGCTATGGATGCAATGGGTGCCATGGGTGCTATGGACGCAATGGATGCCATGGGTGCTTTGGCTTCAATGGGTGCCATGGACGCAATGGACGCAATGGGTGCAATGGCTGCTATGGGTGCTATGGACGCAATGGGTGCCATGGATGCCATGGGTTCAATGGGTGCAATGGGTGCCATTGATGCCATGGGTTCAATGGGTGCTATGGACGCAATGGGTTCAATGGATGCCATAGACGCAATGGGTGCCATGGGTGCCATGGATGCAATGGGTGCCATGGATGCCATGGGTTCAATGGGTGCTATGGATGCAATGGGTGCCATGGGTTCAATGGCTTCAATGCGTGCTATGGACGCAATGGGTGCCATGGGTTCAATGGCTGCTATGGACGCAATGGGTGCCATGGACGCAATGGATGCCATGGGTGCTTTGGCTTCAATGGGTGCCATGGACGCAATGGCTTCAATGGGTGCCATGGGTTCAATGGCTGCTATGGACGCAATGGGTGCCATGGACGCAACGGATGCCATGGGTGCTTTGGCTTCAATGGGTGCCATGGACGCAATGGCTTCAATGGGTGCCATGGGTTCAATGGCTGCTATGGACGCAATGGGTGCCATGGACGCAACGGATGCCATGGGTGCTTTGGCTTCAATGGGTGCCATGGACGCAACGGCTTCAATGGGTGCTTTGCCTTCAACGGGTGCCATGTGTACCGCGCCCCCCACCCCCCCATATCACCCACCTGTGTCTCCCCGCCGTTCCCCCGTAGCTCCCATCCGCGGCTCCCCTGCTCCACGCTGCCGCCGCCGCCGCCAGGCCCCTGCCGCCTTCTTCCCACGGCTCCATCGCCCTCCGGGGGTCCCCTCCGCGGGGTCCCCCCCTTCCCCTCGCCCTCGCCCTTTCGGCTCCGTCCCCATAAGCCCCAGCGTGCTGCTGCTGCTGCTGTTGATGATGATGATGATGATGATGATGAGGATGAGGAGGAAGAGGAGGCGGCCCCGCTTCCATCGCCTCCGGGGGGTGATCGCTGCTGCTTCGGCTGTCGACCTCTTCGATACCCGAATCGGTGACGGCGTCCAGGCCGTCGGGGTGAGCCCCGAGACCTCCTCGCCTCCCTTCGGGCCCGCCTTGGGTGATGGTGGCCACTTCGCTGTCGTACGACGTGAGGCTGGAGGCCGTGGAGTCCCCGATGGCGGTGCCGGCGACGACGACGGAGGAGGAGGATGAGGAAGGAAGCGGGGCTTCGAAGCTGTTGGCGAACTCGAGCGGCGGCGGCAGCGGCTCGGCCAGCAGCAGCTCCTCGTCGCCGTCCTCCACCGAGGGAGCCGGCGGCGGCAGGGCCAGCAAGGCGCCGGCTTCGGCGAAGCGCACGCGGGGCTCCGCTGGGGAGCCCCAAAGCTCGGCAGGCGACGGCGGGAGGAGGGACGGTGGGGGGAGCTCCGTTGGGGGTTTGCATGGAGGAGGAGGAGGAGGAGGAGGAGGAGGAGGAGGTGGAGGAAGAGGAGAGGAGCGGAGCGGGGGCAAGGCCGCGGTAGGCCCGAGCGCCGCCATCTTGGCCGTTGCTAAGGGCGACGGCGTTGCTAAGGGCGGCAGGGCGGGCGCCATGTTGGTTGCTAGGGACGCCATGTCGGTCGCTAAGGGCGCCATGTTGGGCGCCATGTCGGTCGCTAAGGACGTCATGTCGGTGGCTAAGGACGTCATGTCGGTCGCTAAGGACGTCATGTCGCCCGCCGCGCTCGGCCTCAGCCCCACCGCGCCCGGCCTCAGCCCCACGGCGCCCGGCGGCAGCGGCCCTAAGCCCGCTTGCAAGGCCGCGAGCCCGGCCTGCAACGCCGCCGCCGCCGCCGCCATGGCTTTGGGCCTCGGAGCCGGTCCGGAGGAGGAAGAAGAGGACGAGGAAGCAGCGGCCACGCTGCTGAAGGCGCTGCCGGCTCCGAGGCCTCCCCCTTTGGCCGCCCCCCGGTAACCGGGGTCGGCCGCGAACATCCCTTCGTCGATGCTCTTGGAATGGCGCAGGCGCGGAGGACCGGAAGCGGAAGTTAAGCCGGTCACACTTCCGGTTATGGCGGCTCTTCCTCCATCCTCATCGTCCTCCTCGGTGGAGAGGAAGAGCGCGGAGCGCCGCCGCCCCGCCCCCACCAGCGCGGCCCCGAACTGCGACGTGAAGTCCATGGCGGGGGGGGAGGGGCGGGATGGAGACCCAACCCCTCCCCCTCCCATCCCGCCAATCCCCACAACCCCTCCCCCCACCCCCACCGGGGCTTTCCCCGCCGCCCCTCCCCCTTCCAGGCCCGCCCCTCCCCCCGCTTCCGCCTCCACGCTGCTCCCGCGGCTGCTGCGCCCGCTGCTGCTCGTGGACGGCGCCTTCACCACGATGGTGGGGATGGAGATGGAGTCCGCCCCTCCCCCCCCCACCCCCACCCCCACCCCCACCCCCACCCCCCCTTCCTCCACCTTGGTTTGTTTCACCAAGGGCCCTTTCCTCCGCAAAGGTTTCGGGGGGCCCCCTCCCCCCCTTTCCCTCTCCCCTCCCCCCCCTAAGTTATAAAGGCGCCAAGGGGGGGTGACCCCCACCCCAACCCCCACCCCGCGGGGGGTGGAGGCGGGGGGAGGGGCGGCGCTGCTGTACGGGGGCTCCGGGGGGGACGTGGTGGGGGGGGGAGGGATCTCCTCCGAGCCCGGGACCGAGAGGCTGCGGCTGAAGCGGCCGCTGGGGGGGGCCAGGAACGGGCGCTCCTCCTCTGGGGCGCCTGTAAAGAGAACGGGGGGGGGGGAGGGGAGGGGATATAGGGGGTCCGATGGGGGGGGCTATGGGGGGGGCTATGGGGGATAAAGGGGGACGTAGGGGGTTCTATGGGGGGTCCTATAGGGGATAAAGGGGTCCTATAGGGGTCCTATAGGGGATAAAGGGGTCCTATAGGGCATAAAGGGGGCTATAGGGGATAAAGGGGTCCTATGGGGGATAAAGGGGGACATAGGGGGTTCTATGGGGGGTCCTATAGGGGATAAAGGGGTCCTATAGGGGGTCCTATAGGGCATAAAGGGGGCTATAGGGGATAAAGGGGTCCTATAGGGGTCCTATAGGGCATAAAGGGGTCCCATAGGGGGTCCTATAGGGCATAAAGGGGGCTATAGGGGATAAAGGGGTCCTATGGGGGTCTATGCGGGGTCCTATGGGGGATAAAGGGGGACATAGGGGGTCCTATGGGGGGTCCTATAGGGGATAAAGGGGTCCTATAGGGGGTCCTATAGGGCATAAAGGGGGCTATAGGGGATAAAGGGGTCCTATGGGGGGCTATGGGGGATAAAGGGGGACATAGGGGGTCCTATGGGGGGTCCTATAGGGGATAAAGGGGTCCTATAGGGGGTCCTATAGGGCATAAAGGGGGCTATAGGGGATAAAGGGGTCCTATGGGGGTCTATGCGGGGTCCTATGGGGGATAAAGGGGGACATAGGGGGTCCTATGGGGGGTCCTATAGGGGATAAAGGGGTCCTATAGGGGGTCCTATAGGGCATAAAGGGGGCTATAGGGGATAAAGGGGTCCTATAGGGGTCCTATAGGGGATAAAGGGGTCCTATAGGGGGTCCTATAGGGCATAAAGGGGGCTATAGGGGATAAAGGGGTCCTATGGGGGGCTATGGGGGATAAAGGGGGACATAGGGGGTTCTATGGGGGGTCCTATAGGGGATAAAGGGGTCCTATAGGGGGTCCTATAGGGCATAAAGGGGGCTATAGGGGATAAAGGGGTCCTATAGGGGTCCTATAGGGGATAAAGGGGTCCTATACGGGTCCTATAGGGGGTCCTATAGGGCATAAAGGGGTCCTATGGGGGGTCCTATAGGGGATAAAGGGGTCCTATAGGGGGTCCTATAGGGCATAAAGGGGGCTATAGGGGATAAAGGGGTCCTACAGGGGTCCTATAGGGAATAAAGGGGTCCTATAGGGGTCTATGCGGGGTCTTATGGGGGTCTATGGGGGGATAAAGGGGTCCTATAGGGGTCTATGCGGGGTCCTATGGGGGTCTATGGGGGATAAAGGGGGCTATAGGGGGATAAAGGGGTCCTATGGGGGATTAGGGGGTCCTATGGGGGGGCCTATGGGGGATAAAGGGGGCTATAGGGGGATAAAGGGGTCCTATGGGGGGGCCTATAGGGGATAAAGGGGTCCTATACGGGATCCTATAGGGCATAAAGGGGGCTATAGGGGATAAAGGGGTCCTATGGGGGGCTATGGGGGATAAAGGGGGACATAGGGGGTCCTATGGGGGGTCCTATAGGGGATAAAGGGGTCCTATAGGGGTCCTATAGGGGATAAAGGGGTCCTATGGGGGTCTATAGGGGGGCCTATGGGGGATAAAGGGGTCCTATAGGGGTCCTATAGGGGATAAAGAGATCTGTAGAGGTCTATGGGGAGTCCTATAGGGGACATAGGGGTCTATAGGGGATAAAGGGGTCCTATGGGGGACATAGGGGTCTATAGGGGATAAAGGAGTCCTATAGGGGACATAGGGGTCTATAGCGGACATAGGGGTCTATAGGGGATAAAGGGCTCCTACAGGGGGACATAGGGGTCCTATGGGGGATATAGGGGTCTACAGGGGACATAGGGGATAAAGGGGTCCTGTAGAGGTCTATAGGGGACAAAGGGGTCTATAAGGGACATAGGGGTCCTATAGGGGATATAGGGGTCTATAGGGGACAAAGGGGTCCTATAGGGGACATAGGGGTCTATAAGGGGTCCTGTAGGGGACATAGGGGGTTCTATAGGGGATAAAGGGGTCCTATGGGGACAAAGGTGTCTATAGGGGACATAGGGGTCCTAGAGGGGACATAGTGTTCTACAGGGGACATAAGGGTGCTATAGGGGATATGGGGCTCCTATAGGGGACAGGGGGGCCCTATAGGGGACAGGGGGGCCCTATAGGGGACAAAGGGGGCCACGGCACCTATAGGGATGTGCCCCCATAGATGGAAGCTATAGAGAGCCCACAACTGGCACACAGAAGGCATAGGGGACCCCCCCGCCCCCCATCTCTATAGGGAACCCCAGCACCCATAGGGACCCCATTACCCATCCCCATAGGGCCTCCCCCTAGCACCTATAGGGACCCCTCCCAGCACCCATAGGGACCCTTCCAGCACCCATAGGGATCCCAGCACCCATAGGGACCCCTCCAGCACCCATAGGAACCCCCAGCACCCATAGGGACCCCCCCCAGCACCCATAAGGAGCTCAGCATCCATAGGGACCCCAACACCCACAGGGACCCTCCAGCACCCATAGGGACACGCCCAGCACCCATAGGGGCCTCAGCACCCATAGGGACCCCCCCAGCACCCATAGGAATCCCCCCAGCACCCATAGGGACCCTCAGCACCCACAAGAACCCCCCAGCACCCATAGGAACCCTCAGCACCCACAGCCCCACCCCCAGCACCCATAGGAACCCTCAGCACCCACAGGGACCCCCCCAGCACCCATAGGAACCCCCAGCACCCACAGCCCCGCCCCCAGCACCCATAGGGACCCCAGCACCCATAGGGTCCCCAGCACCCATAGGGACACCCCCAGCACCCATAGGAACCCCCAGCACCCACAGCCCCGCCCCCAGCACCCATGGGTGCCCCCCCAGCACCCACCTATGGATTTCTGTCGCAGGACGAGCCCGTGGGGGGGGGGCGGCAGGAACCCGCGGTCGAACCCCCCCGGGGGCAGGCGGGGGGCATCGAAGGTGGCCTGGGGGGGGAGGGGGGCACAGGTTGGGGACCCCCCCATAGGGACCCACATTGGGGACACCCCCACCCCATAGGGACCCACATTGGGGACCCCACACTGTGGACTCCCCCCCCCATAGGGAACCACACTGGGGACCCCCCCATAGGGACCCACATTGGGGATCCCCCCCCATAAGGACCCACATTGGGGACACCCCCCCCATAAGGACCCACATTGGGGACACTGCCCCATAGGGACCCACATTGGGAGCCCCCCCCATAGGGACCCACATTGGGAGCCCCCCCCATAGGGACCCACATTGGGGATCCCCCCCCATAAGGACCCACATTGGGGACACCCCCCCCATAAGGACCCACATTGGGGACACTGCCCCATAGGGACCCACATTGGGGATCCCCCCCCATAAGGACCCACATTGGGGACACCCCCACCCCATAGGGACACACATTGGGGGGAGACCCCCCCCCCCCCCCCCCCCCCGCATAGGGACCCACATTGGGACACCCCCCATAGGGACCCACATTGGGGACCCCCCCATAAGAACCCCCCATAGGGACCCACATTGGGAACCCCCCCATAGGGACCCACATTGGGACCACCCCCATAAGGACCCACATTGGGGACCCCCCATAAGGACCCCCCCATAGGGAGCCACATTGGGGACCCCCCCGCATAAGGACCCACATTGGGGACACCCCCCCATAGGGAACCACATTGGGGACCCCACATAGCACCCACATATTGGAGACCCCCCCAAGGGACCCACATTGGGGACACCCCCAAAGCCCCCCATAGGGACCCACACTGGGGGCCCCCCATAGCACCCACATATTGGAGACCCCCCCCAAGAGACCCCCATTGGGGACCCCCCACAAGGACCCACATTGGGGGCCCCCCCTAAGAGACCCCCATTGGGGACCCCCCATAAGGACCCACACTGGGGGCCCCCCATAGCACCCACATATTGGAGACCCCCCCCAAGGGACCCCCATTGGGGACCCCCCATAAGGACCCACATTGGGGGCCCCCCATAGCACCCACATATTGGAGACCCCCCCCAAGGGACCCCCACATTGGGGACCCCCCCTAAAGGCACCCACATTGAGACCCCCCCCCCACCCCAGGTACCTCCCATATTGAGCCCCCCCCCCCCCAATGGACCCAGGTATTGGGGACCCCCCCCATAGGGACCCCCCCCATAGGGACCCCCACATCGGCCGCCCCCCACCTCAGCCCCATAGAAGCCCTTGGGCCGGGCCTTGCCCAGGGGGGGGAGGGGCGCTCCCGGCCCCTCCCCCACGCTGATGCTCTGCTGGGCCGCGGCCAGGATCTCGTCCAGCTTGTCTGGGGGGAGGGGGGGGACACCCCAATGTCAGCACCCATAGGGACCCATAGGGACCCATAGGGACCCATAGGGACCCATAGAGACCCACAGGGACCCATAGGGACCAGTGTACCCAATAGAGACCCATAGAGACCCACAGGGACCCATAGGGACCCATAGATACCAGTGAACCCACAGAGACCCATAGAGACCCATAGGGACCCATAGGGACCAATGTACCCCATAGAGACCCATAGGGACGCATAGGGACCAATGTACCCCATAGAGACTCATAGGGACCCATAGGGACCAATGTACCCCATAGAGACCCATAGGCACCAGTGCACCCCATAGACACCCATAGACACCAATGCACCCCAATACACCCCATGGACACCCACAGACATCAATGCACCCTAATGCACCCCATGGACACCCATAGGCACCAATGCACCCCATGGACACCCACAGACACCAATGTACCCCATGGACACCAATGTACCCCACTGTACCCCATGGACACCCCAATGTACCCTATAGACACCCATAGACACCGATGTACCCCAATGTACCCCATGGACACCCATAGACACCAATGTACCCCAATGTACCCTATAGACACCCATAGACACCGATGTACCCCAATGTACCCCATGGACACCCATAGACACCGATGTACCCCAATGTACCCCATGGACACCCATAGACACCGATGTACCCCAATGTACCCTATAGACACCCATAGACACCAATGTACCCCAATGTACCCCATGGACACCCATAGACACCGATGTACCCCAATGTACCCCATGGACACCCATAGACACCGATGTACCCCAATGTACCCCATATACACCCATAGACACCGATGTACCCCAATGTATCCCATGGACACCCATAGACACCGATGTACCCCAATGTACCCCATGGACACCCATAGACACCAATGTACCCCAATGCACCCCATGGACACCCATAGACACCAGTGTACCCCAATGTACCCCATGGACACCCATAGACACCAATGTACCCCAATGTACCCCACGGACACCCATAGACACCAGTGTACCCCAATGTACCCCATGGACACCAGTGTACCCCACTGTAAGCCATGGACACCAATGCACCCCAATGTACCCTATAGACACTCATAGACACCAATATACCCCAATGTACCCCATGGACACCCATAGACACCAGTGTACCCCAATGTACCCCATGGACACCAGTGTACCCCACTGTAAGCCATGGACACCAATGCACCCCAATGTACCCTATAGACACCCATAGACACCAATGCACCCCAAGGCACCCCATGGACACCCATAGACACCAATGTGCCCCAATGCACCCCATGGGCACCCATAGACACCAATGTAGCCTATAGACACCCATAGACACCAATGCACCCCAAGGCACCCCACAGACACCCATGGACACCAATGTATCCTAATGCACCCCATGGACACCCATAAACACCAATGCACCCCATGGACACCCATAGACACCAATGTGCCCCAATGCACCCCATGGGCACCCGTAGACACCAATGTACCCTATAGACACCCATAGACACCAGTGCACCCCAAGGCACCCCACAGACACCCATGGACACCCATAGACCCCAATGCACCCCCATAGACCCCAATCCACACCAGCACCCAGCAGCACCCCCATGGGGGGGGCTTAGGGACTCCCACCCATAGACCCCCCCCACCCATAGACCACCCCACCCATGGGCCCCCCCCATAGCGCCCCCTTACTGAGCGCCATCTGATAGACTGTCCGCTTCTTCTCCGTGGCCACCGAGGCGTCGTACTCTGGGGAGAGAGAGGGGCACCCATGGGTGGGGGTATGGGTGCTGGGGGGGCAGTGGTCCTATGGGTGACCTGATGGGTGCCAGGGGTGATGGGTGCTAGGGGAGTCCTAATGGGTGCTGGAGCGATGGGTGCTGGGGGGGTGGGGGGGGTTGTCCCATGGGTGCTGGGGGTGATTGATGGGTGCTGGCAGAGAGGGGTGCCCATGGGGTGCAATGGGCACGCAAGACCCACGCGAGCTTGCGCAGGGGGGCGATGCGTGTGCCATGTGTGCAGAGCGTGTGCAACACATGTGCGAGGCGTGTTCGATGCATGTTTGAGGTGTGTTCGAGGCGTGTTCAATGCATGTTTGAGGTGTGTTCGAGGCGTGTTTGATGCGTGTTCAATGCATGTTTGAGGTGTGTTCGAGGCATGTTCAATGCATGTTTGAGGTGTGTTCAAGGCGTGTTTGAGGTGTGTTCGAGGCATGTTCAATGCATGCTTGAGGTGTGTTCGAGGTGTGTTCAATGCACGTTTGAGGTGTGTTCAATGCATGTTTGAAGTGTGTTCGAGGCGTGTTCAATGCATGTTTGAGGTGTGTTCAAGGCGTGTTCAATGCGTGTTCAATGCATGCTTGAGGTGTGTCTCATATGTGTTTAATGCATGTTCGATGCATGTTCAAGGCGTGTTTGATGCCTGTTCGAAGTGTGCACATTCAATGCATGTTCAGTGTGTGAGGTGTAGATGATGCATGTTCAAGGCGTGTTGATGCGTGTTTCATGCATGTTTGATGCGTGTTCGAGGCATGTTTGATGTGCGTTCGATGCATCTTCAATGCGTGTTTGATGCATATTCAAGGCGTGTTCGAGGCATGTTTGATGCGTGTTCAAGGCTTGTTTGGTGCGTGTTTGAGGCATGTTCAATGCATGATGTGTGTTCAATGCATATTTGATGTGTGTTTAATGCATGTTTGATGTGTGTTCATGTTTGATGTGTGTTCAATTCGTGTTCGATGCATGTTCAAGGCGTGTTTAATGCGTGTTCGATGCATGTTCAATGCATGTTTAATGCGTGTTCAAGGCGTGTTCCATGCGTGTTTGATGCACTCACCAGTGCGCTTCTTCCATGGGGAGACTGGGGAGACACGAGAGCGGTTACGGGGGGCCACTGGGGGGGGGTCAATGGGGATCAATGGGGCTCACATTGGGGTCAATGGGGTTGGGGGGGGTTAAAGTGGGGTCATGGGGGGGGGGTCAAAGGGAACCCAAAGGGGGGGGGGGGCCCCCCACACTCACCTTTCTCCACTGCAAGGGGAAGGGGGGGGAAGGTCAGAGGTTAAAGGTTAAAGGTCAGAAATCCCCCCCCCCATCACTGAACACCCCCCACCCCCAAGGGGCTTTAAGGGACCCCAATACCCAGGCACCCCCCCCATAGACACCCCCTGCCCCCCCAGGACTCCCATTGACCCCCCCAATCACCCCCCATAGACACCCCCCACAGCCACCCCCCTTTACCCCCCGCAAGCACCCCCCATAGACCCCCCCAAACCTCTCCATAACCCCCCCAGACACCCCCGACCCCCCCCAGGACTCCCAATGCCCCACCCACAAGCACCCCACATAGACCCCCCCCATAGACACCCCCCACCCCCCCCAAGACTCCCAATGACCCCCCACAAGCACCCCCCATAGACCCCCCCATAGACACCCCCTGCCCCCTCCAACCACCCCCCAGGACTCCCAATGACCCCCCACAAGCACCCCCCATAGACCCCCCCATAGACACCCCCTGCCCCCCCCAACCACCCCCCAGGACTCCCAATGACCCCCCACAAGCACCCCCGATAGACCCCCCAAACCCTTCCATAGCCCCCTCCCACCCCCTTCATAGACTCCCTCAGGACCCTCCCCCCACCCCCAATGCCCCCCACCCCCCCCAGCCCCCCCACCCCCTCAGCCCCCCCCCCCTCACCCATCTCCTCCAGCTCCGAGGTCATGGATTTGGAGCGCAGGGAAATGGCCGGGGCCGGGAGGCGCCGAGGCTGGGGGGGGGCAGCTGCGGGGGGGGGGGGGGGGGGAGGGGGGTCAGGGACCCCCCCTTAGGGTCCCCCCCCTCCCCAATACATAGACACAGGTGACCCCCCCCATGGCCCCATTCATGAACCCTATGAGCTCCATTCATGACCCAATGAGCTCCATTCATGAGCCCAATGCCCCCCATTCATGACCCAATGAGCTCCATTCATGACCCAATGAGCTCCATTCATGAGCCAATGACCCCCATTCATGACCCAATGAGCCCCATTCATGATCCCAATGACCCCCATTTATGACCCAATGAGCCCCATTCATGACTCAATGAGCTCCATTCATGAGCCCAATGAGCCCCAGTCATGAGCCCAATGAACCCCATTCATGACCCCAATGACCCCCATTGATGACCCAATGAGGCCCATTCATGACCCCAATGCCCCCCATTCATGACCCCAATGCCCCCCATTCATGAGCCCAATGAACCCCATTTATGACCCAATGAGCCCCATTCATGAGCCAATGAGCTCCATTCATGACCCAGTGCCCCCATTCATGAGCCCAATGAGCTCCATTCATGAGCCCCATTCATGACCCAATGAGCCCCATTCATGAGCCCAATGAGCCCTATTCATGACCCAATGAGCCCCATTCATGACCCCAATGCCCCCCATTCATAAGCCCAATGAGCCCCATTCATGACTCAATGAGCTCCATTCATGAGCCCAATGAGCCCTATTCATGACCCAATGAGCCCCATTTATGACCCAATGAGCCCCATTTATGAGCCCAATGAGCCCCATTCATGAGCCAATGAGCCCCATTCATGATCCCAATGACCCCCATTTATGACCCAATGCCCCCATTCATGAGCCCAATGAGCCCCATTCATGAGCCAATGAGCCCCATTCATGATCCCAATGCCCCCCATTTATGACCCAATGCCCCCATTCATGAGCCCAATGAGCCCCATTCATGAGCCAATGAGCCCCATTCATGATCCCAATGACCCCCATTTATCACCCAATGAGCCCCATTCATGAGCCAATGAGCCCCATTCATGACCCAATGAACCTCCCCTTCATGACCGAATGAGCCCCATTCATGACCCCAATGCTGCCCATTCATGACCCAATGCCCCACATTCATGACCCAATGCCCCCCATTCATGACCCAATGAGCCCCATTCATGACCCCAATGCTGCCCATTCATGACCCAATGCCCCGCATTCATGACCCAATGCCCCCCATTCATGACCCAATGAGCCCCATTCATGACCCCAATGCCCCCCATTCATGACCCAATGAGCCCGATTCATGACCCCAATGCTCCCCAGTCATGACCCCAATGACATCCCTATGACCCCCCCCATTCTTACATACCCCCATGACCCATCTGACCCCCACTGACCCCCTTTTCATCCCATAGACACCCCCGACCCCATTGACACCAGATGAGCCCTATTCATGGCCAATGACCCCCCCATGACACCTCACATGGCCCCCAATTCCCCCCCATCACCCTATTGACCCATTGACACCAAATGACCCCCATTGTCCCCCTGCATTGCCCCATTGAACCCACATCACTCCAGTGACCCCCCCATTGACTCCTGATGACCCCATTCATGAACCCAATGACATTCCCATCACCCCATTGACCCCCCATTGACTCCCGATGACTCCCCCATCACCCCATTGACCCCCCATTGACTCCCAATGACCCCATTCATGAACCCAATGACATTCCCATCACCCCATTGACCCCCCATTGACTCCCGATGACTCCCCCATTGACTCCCAATGACCCCATTGACCACCCATCACTCCATTGACCCCCCATTGACTCCTGATGACCCCATTCATGAACCCAATGACATTCCCATCACCCCATTGACACCCCATTGACTCTCGATGACTCCCCCATCACCCCATTGACCCCCCATTGACTCCCGATGACCCCCATTGACCCCCCATCACCCCATTGACCCCCCCATTGACCCAGATGACTCCATTCATGAACCCAATGACATTTCCATCACCCCATTGACCCCCCATTGACTCCCGATGAATCCCCCATCACCCCATTGACCCCCCATTCACTCCCGATGACTCCCCCATCACCCCATTGACCCCCGCATTGACCCCAGATGACTCCATTCATGAACCCAATGACATTCCCATCACCCCATTGACCCCCCATTGACTCCCAATGACCCCATTCATGAACCTAATGACATTCCCATCACCCCATTGCCCCCCCATTGACTCCCAATGACCCCCATTGACCACCCATCACTCCACTGACCCCCCATTGACTCCTGATGACCCCATTCATGAACCCAATGACATTCCCATCACCCCATTGACCCCCCATTGACTCCCGATGACTCCCCCATCACCCCATTGACCCCCCATTGACTCCTGATGATCCCATTCATGAACCCAATGACATTCCCATCACCCCACTGACACCCCATTGACTCCCGATGACTCCCCCATCACCCCATTGACCCCCATTGACTCCCGATGACCCCCATTGACCCCCATCACCCCATTGACTCCCGATGACCCCCATTGACCCCCCCCATCACCCCATTGACCCCCCATTGACTCCCGATGACCCCCATTGACCCCCATCACCCCATTGACTCCCGATGACCCCCATTGACCCCCCCATCACCCCATTGACCCCCCATTGCCCCCCGTTGCCCCTCACCCCTGCGCCGGGGCCCCTCGGGCTCCGGGTGCCGCGTCACCATGACAACCTTGAGCACGAGGCTGTTCCCGCCCTGCCGGATCATGGACACGACCTGGCGGTGCCCGACCTTGACCACGTTCTGCCCGTTCACCTGCGCGCGACACCCGCGTCACACGTGATGACACGCGATGACACGCGATGACACATGGTGACATGCAATAACACGCGATGACACGGGACAACACGCGACGACACATGATGACATGCAATAACACACGACGACACACGACACGCGACACCCGCGTCACACGCAATGACGCATGGTGACATACAATGACACGCGACGACACATGACGACACGTGACGACACACAATGACACGCGATGACACATGATGACACGCTACAACACGCTACGACACATGATATGCTATGACACATAATGACATGCTATGACATGATGACACGTGATGACACACAATGACACGCTACAACACGCCACGACACATGACGACATATGACATGATGACACTCTACGACATGCTATGACCCGCTACGACCCGCTACAACACACGATGACATGCTATGACACCCTACGACACGTTACAACATGCTATGACACATGACACACTATGACACGTGATGACACTCTATGATACGCTACGACATGCTACGACACGCTATGACATGCTATGACACTGACATGCAATAACATGCTATGACATGCTGTGACACTCTGCAACACGCTACAACATGCTATGACATGCTCTGTGTGGGTTCAACCACCCACAGGTGGGTGTGAAGTGCCCAGATGGGTGCTATGGGAGCTGTCCCCATGGGTTGGTGCTGAACAGCCTTATGTGGGTGCCATGGGTGCTGGGGGTGCCGTGGGTGCCATGACTGCAATGGATGCAATGGGTGCCATGAATGCAATGCCTGCAATAGGTGCCATGGATGCAATGGGTGCTATGGATGCCATGGATGCAATGGATGTCATGGATGCAATGGGTACCATGGGTGCCATGGATACAATGGATGCCATGGGTGCAATGGGTACCATGGGTGCCATGGATGCCATGGGTGCAATGGGTACCATGGGTGCCATGGATGCCATGGGTGCCATGGGTGCAATGGGTACCATGGATGCCATGGGTGCAATGGGTACCATGGATGCCATGGGTGCAATGGATGCCATGGGTGCCATGGATGCCATGGGTGCCATGGATACAATGGATGCAATGGGAGCCATGGGTGCCATGGATGCAATGGGTGCCATGGATGCAATGGCTGCAATGGATGCCGTGGGTGCCATGGGTGCAATGGATGCAATGGATGCCATGGGTGCAATGGATGCCATGGATACAATGGCTGCCCTGGGTGCTGTGGGTGCCATGGAAGCCATGGGTGCAATGGAAGTCAATGGGTGCAATGGGTGCCATGGATGCAATGGCTGCAATGGATGCCATGGGTGCCATGGGTGCAATGGGTGCCATGGATGCCCTGGGTGCCATGGATGCAATGGATGGAATGGATGCCATGGCTGCCATGGGTGCCATGGATACAATGGCTGCCATGGGTGCCGTGGGTGCCATGGGTGCCATGGATACAATGGCTGCCGTGGGTGCCATGGATGCCGTGGGTGCCGCGGCGCCGTGGGTGCTGACCTCGATGAGGAAGTCCCCCATGCGCAGCCCGGCTCTCCAGGCCACGCCGCCCTCATCCACGGATTCCAGGTACTGCAGCGCCGGGAACGCCGGCGTCGGCGTGAACTCCTCGATGGGCGTCTGCGCTGCGGGGGGGGTCACGGCTGCGGCCGCCCCCCCGGCACCCCCCTGACACCCCTTCAGCATCCCCACCCCCATCACCCCCATCCCCATCATCATCCTCAGCCCCATCCCCATCCTCTTCATCCCCATCATCATCCCCATCATCTTCATCCCCATCAGCATCATCCCCATCCTCATCCCCAGCCCCATCCCCATCAGCATCATCCCCATCCCCATCATCATCCCCATCATCTTCATCCCCATCAGCATCATCCCCATCCTCATCCCCAGCCCCATCCTCTTCATCCCCATCCCCATCATCATCCCCATCCCCATCAGCATCATCCCCATCATCATCCTCATTCCCAGCCCCACCCCCATCCCCATCATACCCATCCCCATCAGCATCATCCCCATCCCCATCTCCATCCTCATCCCCAGCCCCACCCCCATCCTCTTCATCCCCATCCCCATCATCATCCCCATCATCTTCATCCCCACCACCATCAGCAGCATCCCCACACCCATCCTCATCCTCATCCCCATCATCCTCATCCCCAGCCCCACCCCCATCCCCATCATCTTCATCCCCATCAGCATCATCCCCATCCCCATCAGCATCATCCCCATCCCCATCATCATCCTCATCCCCAGCCCCATCCCCATCAGCAGCATCCCCATCCCCATCATCATCCCCATCATCTTCATCCCCATCAGCATCATCCCCATCCCCACCACCATCAGCAGCATCCCCACACCCATCCTCATCCCCATCCCCATCATCCTCATCCCCATCCCCATCAGCAGCATCATCCCCCTCATCTTCATCCCCATCAGCATCATTCCCATCATCATCCTCATGCCCATCCTCATCCCCATCCCCATCATCATCCTCATCCCCATCATCTTCATCCCCATCCTAATCATCATCCCCAACATCTTCATCTCTATCCCCATCCCCATCATCCTCATCCCCATCCCCATCATCTTCATTCCCATCATCATCCTCATCCCCAACCCCATCCTCATCCCCATCCTCATCCCCATCCCCATCATCTTCATCCCCATCCTCATCCTCATCCCCATCCCCATCATCCCCATCCCCATCATCATCCTCATCCCCAACCCCATCCTCATCCCCATCATCATCCCCATCCCCATCATCCTCATCCCCATCCTCATCCTCATCCCCATCTCCATCCTCATCCCCATCCCCATCATCCCCATCCCCATCATCATCCTCATCCCCATTCATCTTCCCCATCCCCATCATCTTCATCCCCATCCCCATCATCATCCCCATCCAAATAGGCATCTTCATCCTCATCCCCATCCCCATCATCATCCTCATCTGCCCTTCACCCCCCTTTGGCATCATCATCATCCCCATCATCCTCTTCATCCCCCCTTCATCATCATCATCCCCTTCCTCCCATTCCCCTGATCCTCATTCACTCCAAGCAGCCCTTTTGTACCCCCCTCCTTCATCATCATCATCCCATCCCCTTCATCCCCATCATCCTCACCATCATCATCCCATGCCCTTCATCCCCATCATCCTCACCATCATCATCCCATGCCCTTCATCCCCATCCTCATCATCATCATCCCATGCCCTTCATCCCCATCCTCATCCCCATCATCATCATTATCCCATGCCCTTCATCCCCATCATCCTCACCATCATCATCCCATGCCCTTCATCCCCATCCTCATCATCATCATCCCATGCCCTTCATCCCCATCCTCATCCCCATCATCATCATTATCCCATGCCCTTCATCCCCATCCTCATCATCATCATCCCATGCCCTTCATCCCCATCCTCATCCCCATCCTCATCATCATCCCATGCCCTTCATCCCCATCCTCATCATTATCCCATACCCTTCATCCCCATCCTCATCCCCATCATCATTATCCCATGCCCTTCATCCCCATCCTCATCCCCATCATCATCATTATCCCATGCCCTTCATCCCCATCCTCATCATCATCATCCCATGCCCTTCATCCCCATCCTCATCCCCATCCTCATCATCATCCCATCCCCTTCATCCCTATCATCCTCATCCTCACCCTCACCCCTATCTCCTTCATCTGACCCAGATGCTCCTGGACCCCCATAGAGACCCTCAGGACCCCTATAACCCCCCCAGCAACCCCATAGACCCCCCTAGGACCCCTATAGACCCCCAATGGACACCATAGACCCCCTTAGGACCCACATAGACCCCCCTAGGACCCCCATAGACCCCCTCTGGACCCCCATAGACCCCCAATGGACCCCATAGATCCCTCATAGGACCCCCATAGACCACCAATGGACCCCCATAGAGACCCCCATCGCCCCCCCTGCTCACCCTTGGCCCCACGCAGGACAAAGCCGAAGCCTTCGTTGTCCTTCTTCTGGAGCAGAACGGTCTTCTCCTTGATGATGTAATCACTGGGACACGGGATCCACATGGGATACACACGGGATACACATGGGATACACATGGGATACACATGGGATACACACGGGATACACATGGGATACACATGGGATACACATGGGATAAACATGGGATACACAGGGGATACACATGGGATACACACGGGATACACATGGGATACACATGGGATACACACGGGATACACATGGGATACACACGGGATACACATGGGATAAACATGGGATACACAGGGGATCCACATGGGATACACACGGGATACACATGGGATACACATGGGATACACACGGGATACACAGGGGATACACATGGGATACACACGGGATACACACGGGATACACACGGGATACACACGGGATACACACGGGATACACATGGGATACACAGGGGATACACATGGGATACACATGGGATACACATGGGATACACACGGGATACACACGGGATACACACGGGATACACAGGGGATACACGTGGGATACACACGGGATACACACGGGATACACAGGGGATACACACGGGATACACACGGGATACACACGGGATACACACGGGATACACACGGGATACATACGGGATACACATGGGATACATACGGGATACACAGGGGATACACACGGGATACACACGGGATACACACGGGATACACACGGGATACACATGGGATACACACGGGATACACATGGGATACACAGGGGATACACACGGGATACACATGGGATACACACGGGATACACATGGGATACATACGGGATACACATGGGATACACATGGGATACACATGGGATACATACGGGATACACACGGGATACACACGGGATACACACGGGATACACATGGGATACACAGGGGATCCACATGGGATACACACGGGATACACATGGGATACACACGGGATACACATGGGATACACACGGGATACACATGGGATACACATGGGATACACATGGGATAAACATGGGATACGCAGGGGATACACATGGGATACACACGGGATACACATGGGATACACATGGGATACACACGGGATACACATGGGATACACACGGGATACACATGGGATAAACATGGGATACACAGGGGATCCACATGGGATACACACGGGATACACATGGGATACACACGGGATACACATGGGATACACACGGGATACACAGGGGATACACACGGGATACACACGGGATACACACGGGATACACATGGGATACACATGGGATACACAGGGGATACACACGGGATACACATGGGATACACACGGGATACACACGGGATACACACGGGATACACACGGGATACACAGGGGATACACACGGGATACACACGGGATACACACGGGATACACAGGGGATACACACGGGATACACACGGGATACACAGGGGATACACACGGGATACACACGGGATACACAGGGGATACACACGGGATACACATGGGATACACAGGGGATACACACGGGATACACACGGGATACACATGGGATACACACAGGATACACACGGGATACACACGGGATACACATGGGATACATACGGGATACACATGGCATACACATGGGATACACATGGGATACAAAGGGGATACACACGGGATACACACGGGATACACAGGGGAAACACACGGGATACACATGGGATACACACGGGATACACACGGGATACACAGGGGATACACATGGGATACACATGGGATACACACGGGATACACATGGGATACACAGGAAATACAAAGGGGATACACAAGGGATACACACGGGATACACACAGGATACACATGGGATACACATGGGATACACAGGAAATACAAAGGGGATACACAAGGGATACACGGGGATACACACGGGATACACAGGGGATACACACGGGATACACACGGGATACACACGGGATACACAGGGGATACACACGGGATACACATGGGATACACAGGGGATACACACGGGATACACATGGGATACACACGGGATACACATGGCATACACATGGGATACACAAGGGATACAAAGGGGATACACATGGGATACACAGGGGATACACATGGGATACACATGGGATACACAGGAAATACAAAGGGGATACACAAGGGATACACACGGGATACACACAGGATACACATGGGATACACATGGGATACACAGGAAATACAAAGGGGATACACAAGGGATACACACGGGATACACACGGGATACACACGGGATACACACGGGATACACAGGGGATATACATGGCATACACAGGGGATACACACGGGATCCACATGGGATACACACGGGATACACAGGGATACACACGGGATACACAGGGGATACACACGGGATACACATGGGATACACAGGGGATACACACGGGATACACATGGGATACACACGGGATACACATGGCATACACATGGGATACACAAGGGATACAAAGGGGATACACATGGGATACACAGGGGATACACACAGGATACACAGGGGATACACAGGAAATACAAAGGGGATACACAAGGGATACACACGGGATACACACAGGATACACATGGGATACACATGGGATACACAGGAAATACAAAGGGGATACACAAGGGATACACACGGGATACACACGGGATACACAGGGGATATACATGGCATACACAGGTGATACACACGGGATCCACATGGGATACACACGGGATACACAGGGATACACACGGGATACACAGGGGATACACACGGGATACACATGGGATACACACGGGATACACATGGGATACACACGGGATACACATGGCATACACATGGGATACACAAGGGATACAAAGGGGATACACATGGGATACACAGGGGATACACATGGGATACAGAGGGGATACACACGGGATACACACGGGATACACAGGGGATACACACGGGATACACATGGGATACACAGGAAATACAAAGGGGATACACAAGGGATACACACGGGATACACACAGGATACACACAGGATACACACGGGATGCACACGGGATGCACACGGGATACACATGGGATACACAGGGGATACACAGGGGAAACACACGGGATACACACAGGATACACATGGGTTATACACGGGATACACACGGGATACACACAGGATACACATGGGATACACAGGGGATACACAGGGGATACACACGGGATACACACAGGATACACATGGGTTATACATGGGATACACACGGGATACACACAGGATACACATGGGATACACAGGGGATACACACGGGATACAGAGGGGAAACACACGGGATACACACAGGATACACATGGGTTATACATGGGATACACACGGGATACACACGGGATACACACAGGATACACATGGGTTATACACGGGATACACACGGGATACACACAGGATACACATGGGATACACATGGGACATGAGCACACGCGACCCCATGGGGTGATGGGGGGGGGGCAGAGGTGCCCCCCGAGTGCCCCCAGCCCCACACACGCGTGTGCCCTCCCCGCTGCCGCCACCTGCACACGCACACGGACACACACGCACACACGTGTACATACGTGTACATACGTGTCTTAGCGGGCAGGAGGCCACACAGGGCCCCCTGCCCCCCCCACAATGGACCCCTATGGGTCCCTATGCAGGCCCCCCTTCCCTCCCCCCCATAGGGGTCCCTACACATGATCCCATGTCCCACACGTGTCCCCATACATGTCCCATCTATGGTCCCCTGTGTCCCCATATGTGTCTATGGGGGGGTCTATAGGGAGACTATGGGGGGGGTCTATAGGGTGTCTATGGGGTGTCTATGGGAACGTCCATAGGGGTCTATGGGTCTCTATGGGGTGTCTATAGGATGCCTATGGAGGTTCTATAGGGTGCCTATGGGGGGGGCTATAGGGTGCCTATGGGGGTGTCTATGGGAACGTCCATAGGGGTCTATGGGTCTCTATAGGATGCCTATGGAGGTTCTATAGGGTGCCTATGGGGGGGTCTATAGGGTGTCTATGGGGTGTCTATGGGAACGTCAATAGGGGTCTATGGGTCTCTATGGGGTCTCTATAGGATGCCTATGGAGGTTCTATAGGGTGCCTATGGAGGTTCTATAGGGTGCCTATGGGGGTGCCTATGGGGTGCCTGTGGGAACGTCCATAGGGGTCTATGGGTCTCTATAGGATGCCTATGGAGGTTCTATAGGGTGCCTATGGGGGGGTCTATAGGGTGTCTATGGGGTGTCTATGGGAACATCCATAGGGGTCTATGGATCTCTATGGGGTCTCTATAGGATGCCTATGGAGGTTCTATAGGGTGCCTATGGAGGTTCTATAGGGTGTCTATGGAGGTGTCCATGGGGTGTCAATGGGAATGTCCATGGAGGGGTCTATGGGTCGCTATGGGGTCTCTATAGGATGCCTATGGGGGTGTCTATGGGAACGTCCATAGGGGTCTATGGGTCTCTATGGGGTTTCTATAGGATGCCTATGGAGGTTCTATAGGGTGCCTATGGGGGAGTCTATAGGGTGTCTATGGAGGTGCCTATGGGGTGTCTATGGGAACGTTCATAGGGGTCTATGGGTCTCTATGGGGTCTCTATAGGATGCCTATGGAGGTTCTATAGCGTGCCTATGGGGGGGTCTATAGGGTCTCTATGGGATGTCCATGGAGGGGTCTATGGGTCTCTATGGGGTCTCTATAGGATGGCTATGGAGGGTCTATAGGGTGCCTATGGGGGGTCTATAGAGTGTCTATGGGGGTGTCTATGGGATGTCCATGGAGGGGTCTGTGGGTCTCTATGGGGTCTCTATAGGATGGCTATGGAGGGTCTATAGGGTGCCTATGGAATGTCTATGGGGTGTCCATGGGATGCTTATGGGATGTCTATAGGGTATCTATGGGAGGTCTATGCAGGATCCATGGGGTCTCTATGAAGGGTCTATGGGATGTCTATAGGGTGTCTGTGGGATGTCTATGGGGTGTCTATGCAATGTTTATGGGGTGTCTATGGGTCCCTATGGGATGTCTATGGGTCCCTATGGGATGT